GCCTCCAACGGTTGGCGGTCGTTTTATCGGGAATCTGGAATCATTTATAGATAAAATAGTTGGCAACGCGGTCGAATATACCGCGGCGTAAAAAGTGAACGGAAGGGCCGTATTTACTGGCGAGATCCTAAAGTTATCCGAGGGCGGCAGGAAGCAAGCCGCCGCCTTCCGGTTGTGCGAAAGAAAAGCGGGCAGTATTTTTGGAGCGTGCAGGTTCGCCAATTGGAAACAATAAACATAACCGTGCATGTACGCCAATTTGGTGCGAGGGCTTCCTGCTCTTGTGCATATTTACTTCGTGGTCGTAACAGTTCTTCACGACGGCGGCGGCGGAGCTCGCCTCTTTTAACAACAACCACTCCGGGCACAATATATATGCATTCGTGGCGGCGGCTACGTTAGTTTGCATATAGCGAGAAACTGGTGAGCGCACGCAAATTTTTATACCTTACATGGAAATTGCCGTGTTTACTAGAGGCGATGCGGCCATGATGGGGGTTCGCCCCCTCGAACTTTAACTTGTTCCGGGTGAAGGTCGTTTACATAAATGGGAAAACACACCTAAAATTTGTCACGTATTACTTTTGATCGCCGCCGCCCGTTTATCAACCAACCAAATTGCATACTAGTTCCGCTTTTTAAAACTTTCAACATGCAAACGATTTCATTTAGACAACTTTAACCACATGAATTGCAAATACAATATCTAATACTAGAATCTAATAATAAAAAAAGTTTTAAAATTACTTATTATTCTCTTGGTTGTTATGTTGGTATACTTTAGTATAAGAAAAAAAAGATCTAAAAAGGTTTAACTTGAGGAGTTGAAGTTGAAACGGAAAAAGAGACGGTCCGGCTCCGCCCAACTCGAACACTAAAATATTTGTCAAGTAATCTATCAAGCAAATGCCGGCACTTCTTCCGCCAAAACAAAAGAAAAGTTTGTTGTGAGTTCTTTCTAGGGAAAACAGTCCAGGGGATGCCTCATTCACGAAGGAACCTCGTCCCCTCCAACTGAACCCCCAAAACAGACCACCCCCGGACTCTCTGAACCTCCTCGGAGAAAACTTTCTCGTTTCAGTGAAAGTTTGAATTAAATATTAACATCGGGTCTCGTAAGGCTTCACCGACGGCAGCCTCTTTTTCGTCCCGCGGGGCCGTACATCGAATTTTTGAGTACTGGAAATGTAATTTTCAACCGTGAATATCAAATTCAAGGCAGTTTGTACATAGTTTTTGGTAAATTTCAATAATTATTCAAGTGAATAAATATATACAGTAAAACGTCGATATAATGGACCACGTTAGAATGGACTTCAGATATAACGAACAAAATATTTTTAAGTCATACTAGAGCGCTCATAAATTCCATGTTCATAGATAAACTCAGGGTTTTTATTGAAGGAGAAGTAGAACTAACACTAGAGCTAGAACTAGAAAAATTCGGGTTTGGCCGTCTTTAGAGTGTTAGTTCTAATGCTAGTATTAGTTCTAATTTTAGTTGTTAGCGTTAGATTTTTTACTTCTTATTGAACTAAAACTAGAACTAACACTAAACGTAACTAAAACTACAGCTAGAAATATTCGGGTTTAGCCATGTTTCTAGTTTTAGATTTTTAGGTTTTCTAGTTCCAGGTTTAGTGTTAGTTCTAGTACTGAACACAACGGATGTAGATTGATATAACGAACTTTTACCATTATATCGAGATTTTACTGTACCTATATAATTTCACCAACAAGTAAGACAACTCTTAAGACAAAAATGTTATTTTCAATTTTAGTTTGTTGAAATACAGATTGCTTTCCCCAGTTGATCATTTCCTATTTTGAGTTATCTACTATACATTGAAAATCTCGTCGCGGCGCGAACTTTTCCCATAGAAACATCCGCAAGTGTTCGTAAAGACTCTCCGAGGCAGGATATTGCTTCCTCGTCGTTGCCTTATCGTCGTTCCGCTTACCGGAAGCATCTTCCTGTAAACATCTCTCTGTTATTAGTTACTGATAATTCCTCTACCCTTTCTCGAATCTCACACTAATTGAATCACTCCACAAAGAAAGGCCGTCTTTTCTCGTCGATGTATCCATGACACGAAATTTACTTTCAAAAGTAGATTTTCGTATTACGCAATCGTGCATTTCTTCGTTACCCATCCTTCGATTAGCATAAACTTCAGAAACGAATGCAATCGGGGAAGAAATGCCACGAGCCTCGTCCGTATACAAATCGAGAGTAGCTCAGAGGACTGGATTTCTCCCAGGAACGAACCCCATTGTCCAGGCTTCGCGCTGTATTTTTCTGGGTAGTAAATAAGGGAAATTTCATCCCGGACGTCCCCGCGGCGCCCTCCTCTCTAAATATACTAAAATTTTATACAATCTCCCCACTGAAGTCGGATCCCGTCGAATCCCGATCCTACATTTTCTTATCTTGGACGGGGAAACCGATATTTCCGTATATAAAGAAGAGAAAATACGAACGAGATAGAATATTTTCAATCATCGGCCTTCTTTGCCAATAACAACTAGTTACATTTATATAGTGTATTGTTTGAAGTTTTTATCACGTTTATTAACTAAAAACAATTATGATAAAACAAGTTAATAATAAACTTGAATAATGATGCTAAAAGAATTTCTTGACTATTGATAACATTGAGAGGATCAAAAAAGATTCTTGAATGGTAGGAAGGATCGGAATATTTCATAAGGCATTAAGGATAGTAGATGGACTTGGGTATTCCCAACCACGTCCCCTATGGAAGGTCCGATCACGAGCTATAGCCATTGGGGAAATGGTAGAAACGGACGGGGTCCATCGGGAAGGTGCTGATGCGGCACCAGGAGTCCGCGCCGACGTCCTGGCGGAAGAAGTGCGAACTCAAAATGGGGACGGCGGTGAGTGGCGCAGATCGAAATCAATATCGGCAGTTTGGGTAGAGAAAATTTCGGTGGTTCGAAATCCACCAAGTCAGCAAGATAACGTTGTCGTCGAGATGAGAATTCGTTGTCCTCCTTTCGGTTCATTCGCAAATCTGACCCGAACGGACGAACGTCGAATGAGATAGGTTAATTTAACGTAGTAATCTTCGTCTACGGTTATCGTAAAATTTTCATGAAGACCAATTAGACCGGAAGCGTCACATTATAGATCATTGTTCGAAAGCCGTCGATTCATAATTTAACGGTAATTCAAAACCTTCTTCATAACATATCAGGAGCAGCGAACGTCAAGACAGGAGAAACTGAATCCTATTTATACAATGAGAAGGCTTGAGACGGGGAGCCTTAAAGGAATTAAAGTTAAAACAGAGAGGACAGGAAATCGATGCGAACTAACTCGCCCGCCCCACGGAAGCCCTGGGCGCATCACTGCAGGTTAAAATTTCATCCGGAATACCTGGAGTTTAATTGGGCGCCTTAATTAGACCGATTTAAATAGGGCTTGAAAACCAACCCCCAACTCTTTCATTAATATTTATCTCTTTAATTTATCTTCCGATATTTTCAGACAGATGGCTATTTAGCCACAGGGCATCGCCGATCATTCTCCTACGTCATCGCAATCGCACCAGGAATACGCCGCCATATAACTGCCATTTTCTGGCACAATAAAGTCCGGACCATCGCTGCGTGGTCCGCGCTACGGGGGTGAAGTATGGCGGGATTTTATCGGGGTGCACGTGATGCATGGTCCCTAGGGACGTACATCACACCGAGACCGGCTCGCAATGAAATGAGCAATAAATAAAATAGCACCGCAACGATTTTGCACGTGGAGGTGGTGAATGGGAAGGCCGTTTATCAACTCTGCGTCCAAAGAGAATTGTTCGCACCACTAGACCGTATTCCTGTTCTACTAACAGAGGGAAATAATAAAGTAAACGATGTAAAATACTGGGAAATTTATTTTCTCCAATATTTAATAACTACTTTAAATCTTTAACTATCGTAAACAAAAAAAATTTAAGATAAATCTCTATGCATTTTATAAAAGGTTGGCTCTCTAATCAACTGGAAATATATATTTCTCGGAGAAGAGGGATAGTTGCAGATGATCGAAGATTTGATGAGGATCCTCCAGATCATCGAGCCCAATTTACGTTTGCCAAGGCAGGTGTCATTTCTACTCAGATTCTTCAGATCAAACAGTAACAGGCTAACACCATTAGGTGTTATAAATGTTGTGTGATACTTTGATTCTTTTGATTCATCAGTGTCTTCCAGTAATTAGACTGGAAAAGAACCTCATGTAACCCAAGTTTCAAAGTTTCTTGTTGCCTTCTTTCTTGTTGTTGGTGATGACTTGATCTGCCGAATTCCTTTAGATAACGATTTTTTAGATTTTCAACGTCTACTGGTCAAGAAATTTGTCTTTTTGTTTGCAGTATATGGTGATTCTCGCCTTGGAATTAACATTGAGACAATCCCTTTGGAAATCCAGTACGGCACCTTGTCATGCGAACCAAAGATAATAGGATAACTTGGACGTGGCACCACCAACAACTTTTCTTTATGTTTACGACCCCCTAGAAGGTATCTAGGTCAATTTGGCCCTAACCAATACTTTTCGACAATAATATTTACCAAGTTGTTAATTGATTCTGATACTAGGCGGTCGAGTATGTTTTTCCGACTATCTTAAACCGCGTCTTCCGACGGCTTTATATTAAGGAGACTCTCAAACATATGGGGTTCAATACTAACAGTGGTTTTGGCATTTGTATGAAGACTCCTTAGTTAGAGCGTTATTGAAACCAACCTTGGCTTCTTCATGCTGGAGTTTATGGTAGATCCAACGTTGCTCGCCTTTTCTTTTGTTTTTGTTTTAAAATATTTGATCCATATCGAAATTTCCATTCTTCTAAACAATACATCTTCGTTTTGATTTTTTCGTTTAAAGTTTATCGAATCTCTTAACCTATTTCAATTGCCAAGTTTTTCAATTATATTAAAAAAATTCATTGTATATATAATTATTATTCCATATTAATTTTCAGAGATCTTAAAATGGAAAATGTGATGTTGAACTCCCTCCATACACAAATAAAAATAGTTGACTTTGGTTTAAGTAATACCTATTTCGAAAATAACCCGTTAAGAACCCATTGTGGATCTCCTGAGTATGCAGCTCCAGAACTCTTCATGGAAGGCAAAGTGTACGGACCGGAAGTGGATCTCTGGAGTCTGTTAGTCCTAACCAACACCCCATTCACAATCCTAACCAATCATTTTCTTTTCCTTACACCAGTGGTGTGATTCTCTATGGAATGGTCATCGGCCAACTTCCCTTTGTTACGGCCAGAGAGAACAACATGACATCGCAGGAAAGGAGAAAGAAATTATTAGAACAAATTAACCGAGGAATAGCCGCCCCGCATCGTAGAGCGTTGGCGGTTTTTTCCGCTGATTTTAGGACCATGATATCAAAGCTTTTAGTGGCTGAATCTGCGAAAAGAATTACTATTAAGGAACTAGTTTTCCATCCATGGATTACCGAGAAAGGTCGTAAAAGTGTTAGGACTAATCCGTTGAAAAAACTCGATGGACAATATCAAGCTATAGTAAAATATGTCAGATGTTTTAAATACCTATAAATGTCAAAGATTTTTTTTCATTTTAGATAATGAAGGACGTGAGTTCGCTACTTCATCTAAACATGAGCGAGGTGGATTTTGCGGTTAAATCTGAACCTCAGGGTAACGTAGCCGGGATATATAACATCTTGGCGTTTAAGCAAACACTACACCAATTGGAAGGAGATGGGATTACCAGGAATATTCCTGATCAAGCGATAAATTATTTAGCAACTCCAAGACCGAGAGTTCATGCTGTTAAAGAAGTTAAACAAGATAATGTAAAGATGATTAAGAGAAAGGAAACATTAAAATCAGCACCGTTGCCTAAAACAACACCACTTAAATTAAACAAAACTGCTCCGACATCAAAAATAGAAAAAACAACAACACTTGAACCTATTGAGGAAAAAGTACCGAAGAAAAAAATGATTCCAAAGGTAAATTTTTAAATCATTATTTTTTTTTCTAATTAGTTTATTTTTTAGGGCATTTTAACGAGATGGGAAAAAATGACTTCGCCTCGACAAATGACCACAATCGATAAGGTATGTATTGGAAAACCACCACGAAGACATAGCGCTGTTACAGATGACCACAAACGTCCTAAACTATCAGAAAAACCAAACGATTTTGGTAGCCCAGGAAACGGAGAAGGAAATCATATTATTACCATATTATCGCCAAAACCATCAAGTATAAGATCAGCAATCACACCATCAACTATGAATAAAAAAATTAGTGCCAAATCCACAGAACCTCGAATCAACAATACTTCGATTTGTATATCTAATAACACCAGAACAGATACCAAAACATTACGAACGAAATTAAACGATAAAACAAAATCGAAGTATTATTGCCACAATTTTTTTCTTAAACATTTTTTAGTAATCATTTTCATTGTAGAGAATTGTCAGTTAGGATTCAAAGTGCAACAGGAGATTCTTCAAAACCCGACGTATCATCACGTCTTCAAACAGTTACTAGTTTTACAAGACGTCCGATGACGGATCCAATACAAACGGCAGAACGCGCATTGAAAAGGCGGAGGTAACTATAAAACGGTCACCTCGTGTCTTGTGGAATCATTGAATTGTTAGTATGTTGTCAGCAACGGCGACCACCAACGTAACAACGAAAAATGTAGCAAACGGAATCATTTTCAATCAACCTGCAACGGTGGTGACTTCGACGTCCAAAAAGAATCCCCATCAGCAGATGATCAACTGTTGGCACAAGCGCGAAAGGGATACCGAAGCGTCGCTAACAAAGAGGGTTATTATAGCACCACCCCCAAAAAACTCTAGGCCATTTCTCAACGAACCTATTGCGAGATCGATTGCTGGGTACGTTGTTAATAATATTCCGAATAAGCTCCAAGGCTTTAAATGGATCAAATCTGGGAGGAAGGATGGTGGTACTTGATAATTTTTTCTGGATAAGTATTTTTCTTTTTGTTTGTACATATATTTTTTTGTAAGAGAGATGAGGTTTAGTGTAATAAATAGTAAAAAAATAGAATGTAGAGTGAAATTTGAGAATTTTAAAAGATAATTATTATAAAGTATCAATATTTCATTTGCTAGTTATAAATTTGATTTTTAATTGTGCTATATGCTTTGTAAAATTTTTGTATTAAAAGTACACCACACCCCAGTTCGAGAAAGAGATAAAGAAAAAAGAATAATAAAATAGCAAATAAAATAGTAGAGTAATGCGTGTATACAGGCATGATTCCAGAAAATTCTATGTATGCAAAGCAACGAAGTGATTTTTAACAATGCATCTGATAAAGTAGATGACTTTGTTACTGTGTTTGCTAGTGCTTTTGATCATCAGGCTATTTATTGCTGAGGGTTTTCAAATTCCCCTTTTCCTCTTCTCTTTTTAATGAAACATAATCTGAATCATTTTCAATTTAAAGCAACTTAATTCAAAGCATATTGCAGATTCGTCATTAGTTTCTTGCACAATACTAACTTCTTGTCGTTGGAATAGTGAAGAAAACCAGTTTCGTGTAGTTAGTTTTTTTGATTAATGGAAGTTTGTGATCCTGGTATTTGTGTGTGAGTGGGCATTTGTAATCTTTAGATGAGGATGCCTAGAGCAGAGAAACCACATCAGCCGACTTGTCCCGTGTTTAATTGTAGCTCTTACAATGAGTGAGAGGAGTGTGCCCAAAGTTCCTCGTATATGAAAACGTTAAATCAGCAGAAATTTACCGCAGACTGCGTTCCCAGTTCGGGGAAACTACCATTTCATGGTCAATCATGTCTAATCAATCATCAGAAAATAGTTGGGCTTCAGAAAAATCTCAGCACGTTGAGATCCAAGGTTGCTGAATGATGATCAAAAAGTTTTTTGCATAAAATTGTGACCTGTGATGAGACATAGGTGCATCATTACACAACCCAAATCAAAACATGCAAGCATGGAGAAAGAAAGGCGAAGAAAGCCCCGTGAAAGCCAAAACTCGATTGGAAGGGAAAGTGTTGGCCACGGTTTTTTGGGACTGGAGAGGTGTCCTACTGGTACATTTCCTACAAGGACGTCAAACTATCAACGCAACTACTGCGACGCAAAAGACGAGATTGTTCCAACCACTAAGTGTAACTCCTCCAGACTACGCCAGACCCTACATAGCAGAAAGTGGTGAAAATAAACTGGAAAATACTTGATCATCAATCTTATAGTTGAGAACGCCATGCGATTTTCACATGTTTGGATCTCTCAAAGCACTTGGACGCAAGCGATTTGAGACCAGCAATCAAGTGGAAACATTCGTGCGCAACTGATTAGATACCCAACTTCATTCCAAGAGAAAATAATCAAGAATATCACAATGTTGGAAAAAATGTATAATAAAAGAAGGAAATTATATAGAAAAATAATTTGTAGAAATGTAGCTGTCCCTGTAAAATAAATTTTGTTAAATTATGTATTGTAACAATGTATTAAATTGTTGCATCACAAGGTTGCATACTTATTACAGCAACAGCACATCTAAAAAAGATGATTTTGTTTTAGTAGATATTTATTTTCTGAAGATGGTTTTGCTAGAGTGTTTTCCCCAGGACTAGTAGGTATGTTAAGGATAAAAAAGGAATTCGACCAGAATTTTTGCCTGATATAAGCACAACTTTTGTATTTATACAAAGAACAGACACTGAACAGATAGATCAAACACTTGCAATGAACGTTAATATTACTTGAATAGAGAGGAATACATTTGTTATTTGATATCAGCAGCTATTAAAACATCATTTAGTACATTCAGCTAAAATAGCAATTATGAACTGAATCATCTATAAAATGAAAGAATAAAAATAACTAATTGAAGTAAAAAACTAATGAGACGCAGAACATGATGTTAACATATTTTTTTTAGGAAAATTCTTGTATAAATAATAACAGTACCTAAATACAAAATGTATACTTTTTTTTATTAAAATCATCAACAAAGAAAGAAAATTTAATGCCAAGGAACATCTCTTGGACTAGAAATTGAACCCAACTTAATATATTTAGCAGTTTGATTAATTGGAGGAGTTGGAAGCCCAGTTGAGGATGATCCCACTGAAGATCTGTTCATCTCATTTGTAACTTGAGATCCATCCCCTTTTAACGCAGCTACTGGTTTCCAAGAATTTTTATAATTCACTACAAAAAGAATTGTTACCCCATTTAATAACTAAAAATTATAAGTATACTTTTAAACATTCGAACACAACCATCATCCCCAGTTGAAGCTAAAATAGTTCCAGTAACATTCCAACAAACTCTCCAAACAGTGCTTGCATGATCATCAAATTGCGCAACTGTTTGTACTTCTAATTTAAAGACGCCACTTTGAAGGGAGTTGTTATCACTATTATAATTTTATATTAATTATGTGTTACTATTTTGTATGATATATCATGGTGTTACTTACTTAATAGGAGTCAAATTAATGATCCTGACATCTTTAGTAGCTACAGCTAAGACATGATAACTCCTCCCTAAATTTGGAGAGAAAGCTAAATCATGAACAGGTTCAGTTATACTATTTATGGTCTCAACTTTAGTCCATCTTCGTATGTTTTCACTATATTCAAAAATGAATACTTTACCACCAGAGGCTGGGTTACTATCATCACAACCAACAGCAAGCATGGGGGCATGAGCTCTAATAAAAACATAAACAATAAAAATTATCTCATTAATATTAAATTTTTTTGAATCTCACTTTGAGAAGCTATAATTCCAACTTAAAGAGCTACATGATGGTTTACAAGTAACCTCATGTTGCAAAGTCCATTGACTTAAATTCATAACATCAGGGGCTTCATAAATACGAATTAAACCATCAGCTGAGCAAGTAGCCAAAACTAAACCCAAAGTTTTCGGGCCAAATTTAACATCAGTAACTGAAGTTCTTGAATCTACTAAATTTGTTCTTCGAACCCAATATCTAGCTCCTCGTTCTCCAGGACCGGGATTATCACCAACAATTTCTTCCCAAACTGCAGCTGTTCGATCAAACGAACAAGTAGCTAAAACTTGACCAAATTCAGGATGTGCCCAAGTTACTTTCCAAACTGATCCACTGTGGGCTTTCCAACTAGATGTTAAGGACCATGTGCCATTATTAGTTTGATCCCAAACCTTTTCAGAAATAAATAATAAAATTAAAGAGAATTAAATAAAATTAAATAATTACCTTAACATATTGATCACTTGAACATGTTGCCATTCTTTGACCGTAGAAATCATAAGCGACATCGTGAATAAGATCTTTATGTTCTGCGTTTATTTCTTGTGCTTCAAACATTTTTTATATACTTAAATTAGTTGTTTATTACTAACATAACATAACCTTAAAAACGCAACTAAAACGAAAAACACCCTACATTATCGATAATTTAAACGCCATCTATGAAAGAAAAGCTGAAATTTATTTGTTTTAATTTAAAAATTTATTTATTTAAATATAAATTTATTATTTATACATTTTGATTTTGAGAAAATATTAAAAGTATGGAAAGAAATAGAAAAAACATCACCTTATCTGTTTTAACAGAAATACGTTGTAAATTGAAGAATTAGTTATCAATTACATTTAATTATGTTTACTTAAAGTAATTGTTTATAATTACTTTTTATTCAAATATTATTTACTAAATGCGCAGTAAATGACTTATGTATATTGTCAAAGAGAAAGAGCGACGTATGATTTTATCGCAAACAAAAACTGGGGTTTCCTACAAAAAAAATTTTGTTCACATCTGCATTTTTACCAGGTTTATTTAGTTGAATCCCTTCGATCCTTTCGCACGTGTTCGTACGTGTCTGTTCTTATAAATTTAACAATAATAATTAATTTTTTATTTATTTAGTGCGTGATTAAAATGTAAGAAGTTAGTATTGGAGAAAAAGATAAGGGTAAGTTTGCAACAAACGATAATTTTATTATTATTAACAGTGGTTGCTCAGTCTTGTTTCGTCCTCCAGACTGTCGCCAACCCTATGATATCATAGTTTTTTGTTAGGTAAGTAAATAAGTATATTTTAGTTAAATATAATAATGCCTAGATTTAATTGTTATTGAATTAAAATAAAATGATTGAATTATTTTATAAAATTAAGTTATTTGTACAGCGAAAGTTTAATCTAACGCGCAACACTTTTTCATAAGAGTTTACAAATTTAGCTTAGAAAAGTAAATTTTCATTGCAATTTCCAATTTTATTTAGAAAATCGATTTTCATCAAGCTGGCGAATCCTCAGGCTTAATCCATAACTTTTTACTCCAACTTTAAAAAGATCATTTTCTTAATATCTTTTACTTTAGCGGAAAATCGATTTGCTTTAACCTTTCGGCAGGTGCGCTTGTAACATAGAGTACACTCAAATTTGTTTATGACGTAATCTATGAATAAATAAACCTTTCTTTAACCCTGAAGTTAAAAAAATCACACTGTTCGATGAGCTGGGTCGATCACTCCCAAAGTTTGATGTTTATTCATCTCATAATAACACAATGAAATGTTAAATTTGTTGTATTCTACTGTTAGTCTGCCTTATTTTGTACTGCAAAGTAGAAACAGTTGTCAAAAAACAATTGCACAACGAGAAATGAAATATTCGTCATCATATTTTAGAAAAAAATTTAACATTTAATATACTTTACATAAAAAATTGTAAATACAATAATTTGAAAACGATGTAACAAAAACATTTGCCTAAACATTGCTATCTTGAACAAAATTCTCTGCGCAGTCGATGCAGCATGGATTTGTATGCTCCAAACAGCTGCAAGTACCACAAAACTTGCAAAAATATTTTGATTTTTGGTCTTGCAGTATTTGCACCTTCATCGATCAGAGGAAACCGTTTGAGATTGTTGTAAAGTTGGGAGTCCTGATGATTGAGCCGCTAGTCCTCTTACTTTCCGCAGTAGATTCGGTGAAAATACGAGCTAATATTTTCTAAAACTAATTTCTTGCCCGGCGTCTTCAAAAATAGTCGCCTTCTTTTTGAAAATTTTCTATCAGAATTATTACTTTTATTTATTGTGAATGCGTTGATTGCTACTACATTCGGTATGTCGAAGAAAATCACCAATGAAAACGTTGTAAGTTAATTTGTACCGGAATGATCTCTTTATTTTTATTCAGAATGTTAGGGAATGATAATTTGAGAGATGGACTGTTAGACTTTTTGGAAGAGGAATCTAAAAAAAGTATCGACGGCAGCAATGTATCTGATGAAGAAGAAAAAGTTGTTCAAAGTGAACATGATACTCATTCAGAGTTGAGCGCAGAGGAAGCATAAACAAATACTGATGACTTTTTCTAGAAAAAGGAGCAAAACGGAATGTGATAAAACCATTGACGAAATGTTGCACTCATTTAGAGGTTGAAGTAGTTTTTTGCCAACCTGCTAAATACGATATAAATATGTTGGCCATGTGCGATTCCAAATCTTTTTCTACCACCAACCTTGATTTATTGTGGGCAACAACCAAGCGGAATTTATAAAGTTTCCAACTCATCCACCGACATTGTGTCGATGAAAAATTTTCTTGAGCAATTTAGCAGTTCCTTTAATGAAAGAGCAACTAATTATGAGAGCTCACATAATTACGCTGCCAAAAGACATTCGAGCGTTTTTGCAAATTTCTGAAATGGGTACTGACTGCGGTACGTCCGAAACAACCATCTCAAACTGCAAAACAAGGCAAGTGTAAATTGCGCACAAATACAAATACTACACAAAAATGTTGTAAATGTAAGCAATTCATATGCAAAGACACTCTAAAATCATGATAACTTTCGCTCGTATTGCGAAGTGCATTCAGGATCTGATTCATAATTGGTTTATTGTCTATTGTTTTATACTCTCTATTGGAAATACATAAGTGTCGTATATTCTCTGTATAGCCTTTTTTTCTGAAATAACATTTACATTTAAAAATAGACGCACCTGCCGAAAGCTTAACTATGGGCTAAGTTAGAGATGATCGAGGATTCAAATCTTAAAGCTAAACTGACGATATTAATGCGTTATAAAATCACGTCTAAAAGTAACGCTTCCTATCAGTAAAATAAGTTAATGACAAAAATGTTGGTTTTAAAGGTTGCTAGGTTGTTGTTATTTGAATAACTATCGGTTAACTTATGTTGTATACGATCCTTGACACTTGAAGAAACATGCTCAACCTTTTCGATTCGAGAACTATCGGAGCAAACTGGGCTAGAGCGGATAATGTCCAATTCTGGCCGTTTTCCTGCATGAACCAAATTATTCGGTCTAAAAAAGTTTGGCAAGGAACCTTGATGGGAAATGCAATTCAATCAGTTTTGGTTGGCTATGAGTGTTATTTGATCTGTGGTAGCAGAACTCTTTGGTTTGAATTCAAAACAGCAAAGTCCAGTACGTGAAAGTCTTCTTATACTACATTATAGTTTTCCTCATAGATTCTGTCATACGGACATCCGTTTTATCAATTCCTCTTATATTTGAGTTGTCATCAATAACACTCCTTCTTAAGGTGTCGTCTTCATAGAAGGTTGGCAAATAGTTCTCTGTCGTGTGCCGCATTCAGTTTAGACCAAACCCATCCCTCAAGCTCTGTAGTAATCTGCTGCCCGGATCTCTTCTACCCTCAACTTATTATAAGTCTTAGGAATTTATATCTTCTGCCTCCGTAAATGTGACCTAGGTAGTTTGTCTTTCGTTTTTTGATAATTGTAGGAATTTCTCTATTTACATTCATTTCTTAGTACCGTTTCATTGCTAATGTGTTTTGTTCACGATATTTTAAACATTCTGGGTATTACCCACATTTCAAAGGCTTCCAGTCTTTCAAACCTTAGTTCTGTCTCATATGTTTTTGTTTTTTCTATGTTTATCCTAAAGCTAAAAGCACCTTCTCTTGTAATCTGTTAATAAGATTTTTTAGTCTTTCTTGGCTGTTAGTCACCATAACAGTATTCTTCGCATATCTTATATTATTCATAAGTTCCGTTGATTTTTATTATTTCCTATTGCGTTTTGGAATATATTTTCCGAGTCACACTTCCTTTAATGGATATGCTGTTCATTTATCTTCAATTCTCATGGCTGTCGTATACTTTCAATTTCATTTTTAGATCATATTGGCACATCAATATGATTAGTCTACTCCGTGTTTCTAAAACATTTTCGTTCATCAGCTCCGTGTACTTTAGTCGGTATGATTGATATCTACATTTTTGAAGCAGTACATTTAGTCTACATAGCACCTCTCTTGTTCCATGACCCAAACGGAAAGCAAATTTTTCTTCGCCCACATATTGATTGCACTTTATGTATATTCGCTGGTGTATGATTTTATCAGGAAATATTTTGAACACTTTCATATTCAAATTATCATTATTAACAATGTCAAATGAGAAGTCTCAATAAGTTGCTGAAGTTTGTCAATTTTTTGTTCCTCTGTTGATAAAAACAGAACAGAAGAACATAGGGACATGAAATTTGGCATAAGTTTTATTCAAACAGTAACAAACTATAATGTACAATCAAAGTTCGAAGTATCAATTCTTCGTCTTCACACGATTCACCCTTCAAAAGTTCATGGCATCTCTAAAGGCTAGTGGCCTTCATCTACTCCGCCAAAACGTGAGTCTTTTACATCTTGTTACTTCGAAATCCCAAATGATGTTGGAGGCACAGCAATCTTTGGTCTTTCACTTCTGGGTTGATTTTGGATGCTACCGGTTTCCTGATAATGACTGATTGTGTATTTTTTCGATCTGGCTCAGCTTCAAAATCGTGGCACGGTCTACGTCAAACACCATTACATGAAAACGCATAAACCAATCTTTTGAATGTTTGGAAAAGTCTTTAGTAATAAGACAACAAAGTTAGAATCGCAAAGTTAGGCTCCCTGACTTTTGTGACATCCTGTAGTAAGTCTGATTGAGAGAATTTTATTTATTTAAATAGTTACACTGCGATACGTTAAATATCTTTCATATTTGTAACTTAATTATTCCCCAAATGTCATCTTCCTCCATTAATCTAATATTATCTAGAGAAAGTAATTAGCGAAGTGATATTGGCAATATTTATTGAGCAGTTATCGCTTGCTTTTGATTGTTTCATTTTCTTTTGTTTATTCTCTAAGCTACTTCTATTGGCTTGATATAATAAAACTTTTTTCATGTTTTGAATTCAAAAACCTGTTAAATGTTTCAATACTTAATAAAAAAAAGCTTTCTATAAATACTGTAAGGACCGGTTTGGACATAAAGATATTAAAGTTCTCATTTCTAATTTCTCCGTATTAGGATTTTTTTTCTTTTACTAAATCGGATTCGGATTTAGATATTTTTTTGGCTCGTTTTTAACTAAAAGGAAGTGAAAGGATACACTCACAAGATACACAAATCGTTTTCGGTTCAAAATCGGAATCAATAACCATTAGTTAACACTATCTAATGAAACTAATGAACCCGATTCACTCGGCTTATCGGTATGTCATTTAATGGTAAACGTGCAAAAAGTTGCCAGCGAAGTCGTTGAAATATACGTAATTCCTCGGCTCTTGGAATTGTCCAAAAATAGTGGGAATGCACTCGGGGCATGTGCAGCAATACTCATTACGCTTTTAGTGCGACCTCGCATAAGAAGTCGTTAACACAGTTTTTAGAGCGTTAAACGTCCATTTAATAATGACTTGTATATTTTAGACGCATTGATTTCGCATACTTACATGAAATGCCAAATTGATAATTAATAATTAACAATTTATACAAGCTTAATAATATTCTTTAATTTTTTTTACTTTATTATTAGAAACGTAGGTCGCCATGTTAATTTCACCATCTGAAAAAAAGTCCACGGCCGAAGAACAACATCAATCAAGTGATGTTAACGAAGATGAACTAACTAGAACTGAAATCAGTATAGATTTATCCAGACTTCCTCCAAATACTCCTAAGTCCAAGAAAAACATCACCATTCAAATAACGAATTTGGACGATATTTCATCGAACTTAGAAGATAGTCGTCTTTTTAATACATCATCTCCTTTAACAAAAGATAAATTAATTAAATTAAAAATTAAGATGCCAAAATCGCCGAAAACACCTAAATCGCCAAAATCACCCAAAAATCACGATTTAAAAAGGGACAAATCCTTTTTCACTGAAAAAGATTTTTCCACTTTACCGAAAGAGTTTATTAAATTCGCAAATTCGATGATTTGCGGTGATGGTGAGCCAAAGAAAGAGATTAAATGGGTAAATTCCGAAGCGAAAAAAAGATATTGCGATAAGACTTTGAACGAAGAAAGACGAACTAAGCGAAATGTAGATAAAGAATTTGGCGCTTTAAGTCCTATCAATCAAGATACCGAAACGTTAATACCTTCCAGTACTTTTAAAGAAGCCGATGAAAAGTTTGAACCAGATTACAGCTTTCTAGAAATTAATGAAAGCAAGGAAATAGAAGGAATTCAAGATGATTTTAGTGGTGTTAAAATCTGTGATGTAATTGAAAAAAGAAAAGTACCTGAAACACAAGTTACTTTTAAACCTTACGAAGATATAATCGCGAAATTAAAACCTTATTCGAAATATCGAATGCAATATTTGCATAATTTAAGGAAATTGCAAAATAAAGAGTGCAATAAGTATCCCAAAGAAGAATTTTATGTACCAACGACGGAACAAACTCCGAAAAACACAAAAAATAATAATCTTTTCGATTTAGACGAAAACAAAATCATCCAATTAGTAAATCAATCGTCCAAATATCGACCGTTAATGGGTAAAAACGCCTTGTATTCAAAAATGAAGAAAACTCATCCGGAAAACGATTCCAAAATCATTAAAGACCTTGTCACAGAGAAGTTTTCACCGTTTTTTGACCGAAGACGAAAAGAAAGGCGCGATAATAATTATAGTTTACCGATAGATTCCTTAAATTACAACAAAGAACAAATCCAAAAAATTAACAACAATTTAAATCAAACTATTCATCGTATTGTTGTAAACGAAGAAGTATACGCTGTTATTAACAAAAATAATAAATCAAAAGAATTGGATTTGAAATCTTCTTTTAACGGTAATCAAGAAATTGAATTATGGAGCGAAATGAAAACCGAAACTGATTTAAAAGGCGAAATAAAAAGTGAATTAAAAACGGAAGTAAAAACTGAATTTAGTGCTCAATCTGATTACGACATCGAAAAATTTTTACAAAACGCCATCGGTGATGTTAGTTTATTATCACAAACAATGGTAAATATTTTTTAATCAATTTAACCAGTTTTATTACTATAAGTTTAAAATAGACATCCTTTTCTCCTTGTTCACAGGACGTGTCCAATGCTAGCAACATCGTCTTGAAGAACGAAGAAGACCATAGTATTGCAACCGGAGAAATGTCGCTTTTAGTATCAAAAGCAAGCAGCATTAGTACTTTTTGTAGCGCGATTTGGCGAAGAGTCGCCAGAAGAAACAGCGCTATCGCTCCGCAAGAAGAGAAAGGAACTGAAAATGAAGAACAATTACGTAAAGAAGAACGAAATAAACGCATCACTCTTCTTCAACAGGAATCTTCGGTTCAAAATGAAATTATTAGACAAGCTTCAAAAGCTTTGGATTATTGTGAACATTTACCTGGAATTGATTTCTTAAGTCAACGTGTTGAAGCTGAAAGAGTTATTTTAATTGCAAGTAAGATTTAGTTACATTATTAATTACTTTTAAATACTCATCTGTTATTTGCCATCAGTCTCCTCTATCTCTCTTTGTTAGATATTTTGGTAGTTACACCGTCTCCTTTTCCTCTTATCATTACACTTTTCCATTCTCTAACATTATCTTTCTTTACAGTCTTATTCCTTATTCCTGAATTCCTTCCACCACTCCTGAATCTTATATTTTTACTCTCGACCTCATTTCCGATATTTCTACAAATTGCACTGTCGCAATATTCTTTTTAGCTATGTATTCTGACTCACCAATATGCATCTCCAGAATCGAGCCCATCAATTTTCTAAAATCCCATCTTCTTTGCACTGCCATACTTTTATCCCCTACAACATCACGCTTTAAATTTGGTTTTCAAACATCGTATGTAAGTTATCATACTAGGGTGTAAACCAGAAAAAATCCTGTTGGCTAAACTAAAGCCATAGGAGTAGTACTGGGTTTTTAAGCTGCTACAGGTGTTTGGAAATGAATACACTGTTTCACTTCCTGTATTGTTCATTCTTTCCAGTATGCTTGACGGATGTACAATGTAACGTTACAGGACAGAATATCAATCGAACCGATAAAGAGGTCCATTGCCCTATTCAGTTCTATCATAATAATTAAGAACTTGTTAACTTTGTGGCTATGTATGATACATCTGAATACTTGCTTTGAATGGTTTGTAGTAATTCGTTCTGCTTCAAATATCTTGTGGTGAAAATGTTATAATACGACCAAGAATCGCTTCACGAGGGTAACCCAATTAGCTGGTGTTCATGGTTTCGAGCCTCAATAATAACTCGTCATAGTGTTGGCACTAATCTAGTATTTAGAAAATTAGTTCCTGCCTCGTGAAGTTTCTTCCATGATATGCCAAGGTATGCCAAAGACAAATGTAGCGAATGTTTCTTTGTTCCTCTTTCACCACTTAGTTCATCTGTTACTACATTATTGAGACCTCGGCGGGGATGAAATAAGAAAGGATACAACTTGGGAAATAAGAGAAAATGTTCGAAATTATTGTCAAAAGTAACAAGACTTACTTTGGACCATGCTGTTATAAGAATAAATGATAACATCAGCGTCGATGTTCAAACTCGACGGGGGATGCATACTAGAAGCCTGAAACATGGTATTCTTCCAGATCCTGCTGAACCATCAGTACCGACATAAAAATAACGTCATTGGGCAGAAATATCATTAGTTGAAACAAAAAACGATCTATCAATATTATCAATTAAATCAACTCCCGTCTTCTTGTAGCTTTTGTGAAGCTAGGTCATACAAGCAGACTTTGCGAGTCTTGATCCTGCGATCATCTTTTGCCTACGCATTATTAAGACATTTACCAATCTCCACATGTACTCACACGAAATGAGCTCCAGAAGAAAGTGTTCATCTCGATTAGTGGTGGAACGGATATCCGGCAACTTAGCAGCAGTGCAGCCGAATTTTTCAATATTCGCCGATTAAGTTTTAAAAATTCGTATAAAATCCATTTCTTGGAACATGAGTTCCCAAAGTGTTAATAAAAGTGTCCTCTTTCCAATGAACCAACCCGTTTTGAAAAATAACTTTTAGTTTTTGAGAAAACAATATTTGAAGTTTTGATAACATTTTCGATATTGCAATTTTCATTCATAACGTTTAAAATTCGCTATAAAATCATTTCTTGAAGGATCCTTGTAGAAATATCGCCAATTATTAATTAAGGTATCCTCTTTTTAGAGTTGCTTCGTTAGTTAAATCAGCATAAAAAAGTTCATTTTGTATCTTGGATCCAAATAAGTTGACATATCTTATCAGCTTTCTTATTAGTTTCACTTTTATTCAAATATCGCAATAATGTGGCAATATAGAGTATCACTTCAGAAATGCACCAGAAATTATAACCATAATGGCCGGATAGATATGCCGGATATCCGGTATCCGGCTTTTCGCAAAATCGCTATTCGTTCCATCACTAATCTCGATGAGTCCGGATGGATGTAGTTCCATTCCAACTTTACTGTGGAAGCCGTATTATGATCTTGATTTAGGATGATTTCCTGCGTGGACCAGAATACATGGAATTTTACCTACGAAAGAAACCTCGGGTTGGTTCTTCAAATATTGCTTATCTCTACAAATTTCATTCCTTCACTACGTGGCAAGCAAGTTAATTAGTACTGTTAGGTAATTTCATTTATGCCATTACTGCTTATGGTAGTAGAAATACTGGCATAGCGGCCGCTTACCGGTAGAGAAGACCATGCGAAAATATTCCTCGAGATTATAAGTACAAGTAATTTTTCCCGTGATTTTGTATTTGTTTCATTTAGTGTGGTGGTGGTTTTGGTTTGGCAAAAGATTTTTTCGAAACTGCGGTTTCATTAATATATGGTCGATTTCTGCTGATAATCAGAAGATCTGTTCAAAATTTTCCGGTTCTTCTTTGTACTTTAGGAATATTTCTTATCTCGATCTATCTTGAAGTTTGTTGACACCTCACTTTTCTAATTTCTTTTTTCAGGACTCTCTAACATCCTGATAAGATCCCCTCAGCCCATCATCAGTATTTTTAATTTTATTTATATATCTCCATACGCTTTATTAAACTTTTATTAATTAATAACATTATTAAATTTTTTTATAGCTCATAAAAACAAAATGATTCAACACGAAATAGAAGATGTTACATATTATTCAACAATTCGTACAACCTGCAATTATTTGGGAACCTTTAAAATAGAAAATCTCGAGTTCAAAATAAAAGAAGTTTACCCAAAACTAAATAATGATTATTCTCAATGGTACGTTTGCGTAATAAACCGTGGTACTGAAACATTGGCGTCTTCGGCAGTTCAAGCACAAGAAGACGGAAGCGTGATTTTCAAGGAAGACTTTTCCTTCGACTATTTACCACCAGATTTTGAAGTGGGGGTTTCCGTTTTTACACTCAAGGTGAAGAAAGCTAAGGTAAGACATTTGATATAATTGCTGTAACATTTTGTCCGGTAAGAAAATTAAAATAAAACGGTTAAGACGAAAAAGTAATTATATTTCGTGTCGTTCTCGATTTTGTAAAATGTTCTAATTTCCTTGAGAGTGACGTTTTGTAAGATCTCGTTAATGTTCTAAGAAACTATTTCGCTTTCACTCTTTGCGCTTAGTTTTTGTGCGCGATCAAGCACGTATCATCACAGTTGGCGGTCGATTACTATAAGTACCATCTATTTAGAAAGGATTGTCTTTTATGAAACTGGGCGTGTACGTACTTGTTCGATTGATGGGTTTATACAATTTCTAATCGTAACAAATGAAATTTAAATTTGAATTTATTTTCAGGAGAATCGAAGTACGTTACAAAGAATGAAATTCTTCAGTTTCCGTCGTAATCCAAAACCGTCGGCTACAAAAACCTTAACTTCGAGATTTTCAAAAACTTCGCTAAGAAGTCCAAATAAGGAATACGCACTCCAAACGAATCCAATAAGGCAAACGTCATTCTTGCTCTTAGGAGAAACCACCATAACGATTAAAGACGTACAAAAAAACAAATTATCTTTAACAAATCTTGTTAATTTCGCCAATATATTAGAAAACTTCTCCGCGTCAATGTATACGAGTGTTAACATCGATGAAACCTACTCCGATTTTCTTAATATCGGAACTGAAAATGGCGAGAATATTATTTGGAATAGAAGATGGTGTACGCTGTTAAATACCCAATTTAAATATTGGAATTCTCCAAATGATGAAGAAACTGATGAACCTTTGAAAACGATTGATTTAACTTATTCGATTAGAGATGTTTTACACGCTGATAGATCAATTTGTCCGCGAGCTAAGACGCTTCAATTGGATGTTTTGATTCCGTTACAACCTAACGGTGATCAATATACAATCGAAAGATATTTTTTGACTTCTGATACTTCTGAAAGTATGCACAATTGGGATAAATATTTTAACTCAATTATTTCAACTTTAAGAGCTTGGAACTGCATAAAATCTACCGGCGGTTGTTAAATTAATTAAATGATTTATTAATTTTGACTTAAGATATTTATATTGGTTATTACTTTTGCGACATTTTGATGAATATTTTTTTTTAGATATTACGACGTTATTGATTTTTGTGTTCATTTTTTTTCTTTATATATTATTAAGGAAGATTATTAAGTAAGATTATCAAGTAGTAAGTGAAGCATTATTTGATATATTTTTAAGATTAAGAAAATATACCAATGAAGATTTTTGGTAGTAAATGTTTGAGTATTTTTGTTTTAATTTCTACTATATTGTTTCATTATATATTTTTTTGATAATAAAAACATATTATCTTTATTTTTTGTTTGATCTTCTCTAACAATTTTTGGTATTTTCCTCAATTTCTAGTGATATAGCATACATTATAAAATGTTAAAATTGGACGAATAAATCAACTATAACGTAAGTACTAAAACTGATGGAGAAAAACGTTATGAATAAAAAATATTCCTAATGCATCAATAAACCATAATCCAGAATTATTTCATATTTATCTATGACCAGCTTCTAGTGATATAGCATAAATCATAAAATATTAAAATTGGCCGATTTTTCTTAATAAAATCAAGTATAAGGTATGTACTAAATCTGATGGATAGAAACGTTATGAATAAAAAATATTCCTAATGTATCAATAAATCATAATCTAGAATTATTTCATATTTATCTATGACCAGCTTCTAGTGATATAGCATAAATCATAAAATATCAAAATTGGACGATTTTTCTTAATAAAATCAACTATAAGGTAAGTACTAAATCTGATGGATAGAAACGTTATGAATAAAAAATATTCCTAATGCATCAATAAATCATAATCCATAATTATTTCATATTTATCTATCACCAGTTTCTGGTGATACAGCATAAATCACAAAATGTGAAAATTGGACGATTTTTCTTATTAAAATCAACTATAACGTAAGTACTAGAACTGATGGAGAAAGACGTTATGAATAAAAAATATTCCTAATGCATCAAGAAATCAGAATTCATCATTATTTCATATTTATCTATGACCAGCTGCTAGTGATATAGCAGAAATCATAAAATGTCAAAATTGGACGATTTTTCTTAATAAAATCAACTATAACGTAAGTACTAAAACTGATGGAGAAAGATGTTGTGAACAAAAAATATTCATAATGCATCAAGAAATCATAATCCATAATTATTTCATATTTATCTATGACCAGCTTCTAGTGATATAGCATAAATCACAAAATGTGAAAATTGGACGATTTTTCTTATTAAAATCAACTATAACGTAAGTACTAGAACTGATGGAGAAAGACGTTATGAACAAAAAATATTCCTAATGCATCAAGAAATTATAATCCATAATTATTTCATATTTATCTATGACCAGCTTCTAGTGATTTAGCATAAATCATAAAATGTCAAAATTGGACGATTTTTCTTAATAAAATCCACTATCTATAACGTAAGTACTAAAACTGATAGAGAAAGACGTTATGAATAAAAAACGTTGCTAATGCATCAACAAATCATAATCTAGAATTATTTCATGTGTATATATCACCAGTTTCTAGTGATATAGCATAAATCACAAAATATTAGAATTGGACAATTTTTCTTAATAAAATCAACTATAAAGTAAGTACTAAAACTGATGGAGAAAGACGGTATGAATAAAAAATGTTACTAATGCATCAGCAAATCATAATCTAGAATTATTTCATGTGTATCTATCACCAGTTCCTAGTGATATAGTATAAATCACAACATATTAGAATTGGACGATTTTTCTTAATAAAATCAACTATAAGGTAAGTACTAAATCTGATGGATAGAAACGTTAAGAATAAAAAATATTCCTAATGCATCAATCCATCATTCCGAATGCATCAACAAATCATAATCTAGAATTATTTCATGTGTATCTATCACCAGTTTCTAGTGATATACCATAAATCACAAAATGTTAGAATTGGACGATTTTTCTTAATAAAATCAACTATAACGTAAGTACTAAAACTGATGGAGAAAGACGTTATGAATAAGAAATGTTACTAATGCATTAAGAAATCATAATCCATAATTATTTCATATTTATTTATGACCAGCTTCTAGTGATATAGCAAAAATCATAAAATGTCAAAATTGTACCATTTTTCTTAATAAAATCAACTATCTATAACGTAAATACTAAAACTGATGGAGAAAGACGTTATGAATAAAAAATGTTACTAATGCATCAATAAATCATAATCCAGAATTATTTCATATTTATCTATTATCAATTTCTAATAATATTGCAGAAATCCTCACAAGACGTCATGAATAAAAACATTCTAATTGTAGGTTCTAAACTTTCTAGGTCTAGTGTTAGTTCTAGTTTTAGTTCAGTGAAAAATATACAGCAATCTAAGGCTGAATAACAACTAAAATAAGAGCTCATATTAGCATTAGAATTAACACTATACATAGAACTAAAAACATTCGGGGCTTTAAATAAATAATATTAATAATTAAAAAGTAATAGTAAAAATATTTTGTACGTTAAGTATATCCGAAATCCGTTGTAACGAGGTCCGTTATCGAGGTTTTAGTATACTTGTTACAAGTAATTAATTCTCAATCTAATTTTTCATGTGTTTCACAATTAATTACATTTCGTAATTTCTACATTCATTGCAAATTTTTGAATCTATTTCCTTAAGATTAATAACTAAATGATAACCACGTGGGGGTTACCTTTAACATTACAAGAGATCGTGATGATGCAATCTCGGTTATTCGGAGCGAAACAACTCGGGCAAAACTACGACGTATCTATCCATCATGAAGGTAAATTTTTTTGTAACAAATCCGGGTATACGAGAACGAAACCATTTAGATTTGTCTGATCAACGATTCGTGACGGAAACCTCCAGAAATTGAACAGCGCATTCCACATGAGTTCGCGCGAATTATGTTAAACGTCCTATCTGTAGTGGCTTATTGTTGTTGTAACATTTTCTTCGTCCTCCGAAGGCGATCCATTTTCGCCCGCTTCAAGTGAAATTATAGTTATCCGTATCGTACGGACAAAACTGCCCGGGGCATGTAATTTTCAGTACACGAACCAATCAACGTAAAATACTCGACTGCTGGAGCCGCGCGTCTCGTGGCACAATTAGTGCGTTTTGTAACAGTTTCCACCAGCGAGATTTCTTGTTCCGCATCGCAGTTCTTCGACGTATAACCCAACGTTTTACTATAACGCATATTTCATTCGGTCGTTCTCGCATTTTTTTAATAAAAATTATTTCGAAGGGTTCTTGTTAAATCAACCTGCTAACGTAACGCGTTTAAATGCCACAGGAAATTGTAACTAATTATAAACTGAAAACTGGATTCGTGTTCAGATATTTCCAATCACGGATCTGGATTGCAAAATATGAAAATTATACACGACCTATATTATCTAGGAATACAGAAATTAATAAAAAAATTGAAGGATTTGTTTGTGTAGCAATTTCTTTTCATTTCACTTCAAGCTTAATAAAATCAAGTCACGTCAAGCCCTTCACTTATACTCGTTAACATATTAACCAGGAAAAGCAATTCCTAACCCTCAAGTCAACTTAATGGGATAGTCATCTTTTAGAAAGAGTAACGCAGGAAGTTCTTATACAATCACGATTCGAAGATATTTTAACAATGTCGATAGCGATTGTATTTCCTACTGTCGTAGATTTTCTATTTGAAAGGGACATGTTTCGAATTCGTACATAAAATAGTCCACTATTAATTTATAGATCCGATAAATTTCTACATAAACTCCGATTTAAAGCGTTATACTTGTCTTGTCTAATTAAAGTTATCGCAAGAGGATTTACACGGTATTAAAAACAAATGTTTCAAACTTAGTACGAAGGTGCGAAATAATTAACGACCGTTTATGTAAACGCAAGAAAGGAAACTATTCAATTACACAAACTGCCCTCGAGGTGTCATTTGAAAGTGGAAGGCGCCGTTTTCGGCGATAAAGCTTGCAATCTAAAAGCAATCAGGGGCAGGATAATTGAAGGACCGGGCCGGTTTCGTCCCGAACTACCTCTTTCATTCTATTGCTAATTGATGGTAATTGATAGATTGCGGAAACTGCTGGACTGCACCAGTTCTTCAACGAGGAGGTGGTAGGGTCAGCGATTTTTTTGAATTCTTAGCGATTCGAGCCCCACCCAAAAGACACCGACGACCGAAAAGAGTATAAATGTCGAATGTTACAGTAATCATTTCAGTTACAGCACCGTACAGTCTTCGTGTGGAATTCAGCAACCGTTCTAATAAAAACATGAAGAGTTTTATTACATTTACTTGCTTACGTAAGTAATCACACTTTTTAAAACTTACTTTTTACTTTTCTAATTCATTAAATGAATAAAAATTTATATCATTTTTTTGTAATAGTCGCTGTTGCAAATGCCGGTATTAAACACACCGTCGCAGTCAAAGAAAACGATTTGAATGGGGGTCATTATGAATTAATAGCTTATGGAGATGGTGGACATGGAGGATTCGGTAAACAAGGATTCAGTGCTGGAAGTGGTTTAAAAACAATCGCCCAAGGATCAGCAAATCAAGCAAATTCCGCTGTTGCCAACCAACACGTTGCAGCTAAACAAGCAGCATTCGCCGCTAAAAGTACTTTGGCACAAGCAGCTGCTGGAGTAAGATTCAAAATTTAATACACCTAAACCTAATTAACAAAAAATTCTTATATAGGCTGCCGCAACTGCTCAAGCTGCCTTAATAGGCAAACACATCTTAGTCAGCAAACTTGAAGCCGATGTTGCTGAAGCTCACGCTTCTCTCCAAGCAGAATTAGCTCAATTAAAACAAGCCCAAAGATCTGCAGGAGCCGCTCAAGAAGCCGCCCAATTAGCCGGGCAACAAGTAAACGCTTTATCCATAGCTTTGAGTACTGCCCAAGGATCGGCCGCCCACTCCCAACAAGCCGCCGATGAAGCCGCCGCTGAATTAGGTTCTCAAGAAGCTATGGTTGGATCTGCTAAACAAAGATTATCAAACTTAAGTCAACAACTTCACGCCGCCCAAGTCGATTTTCAAGCCACTCAAGCTGCCGCCCAAAAAGCAGAGGCCGCCGCCCAAATCGCTCAATCTAACGCAGTTCATGCAGGAGAAGCTGCCGCTAGTGTCGGACACGCTGCTTTTGCCGATGGACTTGGCCATTACCATTAACGTCTGTGTATATAAATATCTATATATATTTTTTAATGATATGTAATAATTGATTGTAATTATTAGACGATGAAAGTATTATAAAATCTTTGTGTACAGTGCATTATTTTTTGGTTTTTTGTTATATTTATAAAAGAACACAAATATTATAAAATTCTCAAAATTAGAAATTTTTATGGTTAAACATTTCATAATTATAAATTCTTGTACCCTTTACCATAAAGTTTTTAATCTACCGTATAATTAAATTGTGGTATAAAATTACATCATTACCTATCGGAATTAGTCATTAATCATAACTAAAATAGATTCAAACATTATTTTAGTAATTAATAACATTCCATTTAGTTTCTTAGAGTAACATATTATAGAAAATCACTTTTTCAATAAAAAGTGAAAGGAAACGGGTTCAGTTGAAGAATGAGAGGAGTTATACGAGGCTTCAAAATTATACCTAATTATGTTTTTTTACGTGAATGTGGTTTATCGCAATTAAAAATAAATATTCTATGCTTTTTGCGATTTAATTTTTCGTAAGAAATATTATTTGTACATGTTTCAGCGAGCGTTAGGTGTTAAGACGAAATTGTGTAATAACCGGAATCGCTTCTCGATCTTTGCAAATCGTGGTCATTCAAGCGCTTCGTGGGTTATTACGTGTACTGTAGTCATTTTGCAAATTTGAAGATCAAATCGTCTCGGATCTATCTCCTGTAGGTGTAATCTCTAGCTGTTCCAATGTTATCTTCTTTCTTCTGGTCTCATATTAAACATTTCCTTTTGATATCTCTTCGTAGTTTTATTTTTGACCCTACTGGGGGTTCTGCTCCTCTTATTACCATTAAATCTATACTTTTCTGGTTTCTTTCGATTCCTTCATATATTTATGTATGAATCACGACTTTTCTATTAATAGTTGGTTATTGATGCAGAAATCAATCATTCTCTCGACGTTTTATTTAGTTTCTCTTCTCTGGTATTTATCTAGCGCCCCAATTACCGATTATCATAATATGCTCACACTTTTGCTCAAAGTAAGCTTTCATCTTTTACCAACCACGTTTGTTCTAAGGTATAAGAGGCATCGTTTCTTTTTCTGACAAATCTCCTTAGCTGAAGAAACCAATCGAAATCTTCTTCGTCGTGCTGATGAGATCCAGATAGTTCGAAAATGGCAAGCAGACTGGGAACACTACAGCCTTGTGTAGAATGTAGAGTCTGAGTGGGCGGAAACCACTTTTTGTGAATCTCATTTTGTCTTCGACAAAATCATTTACTTCGTCAAAAGCAAAGCCTCTTCTGGTACAAAATTTGTGCTTTGGAAAATTTTGCAAAGTAAAAAACTGCGTTTAGAAACTGTGGTTCGACAAACATTACAGAACTATTTTTGTTTCGCTTGTTTCGACTTCGATTGGCCTTTCAGCTAAGGAGATTTGTCAGAAAGGCAACAATGCCTCTAACGCCTTAGGACATAACATGGTTGTTAAAAGATGAAAGCTTACTTTAAGCAAAATTCGTAACTCTACTAAACTCGGATCGCTTTTGACTTTCTTGTCTTCCTTGTCTTTTGAGAAAATTTTAAGAAATTCTCACACTTATTTCGACTTTTCTGTAGAATTCTTTAAAAATCATTGTAAAAAAGATCTTTGTCACATCTGCGTCTTCTATTGGCATTGGGAATTTGTATTTTATTAATATTTTTTCTAATTCGAGGCAAACTGTTACAATTTATGAGGTTCTAATTGGCTACATTTCCCTCTTTCGCTCTCTCATCGGAGGTCCAACCTATGTATCTCAAATACCAGCCTTTGTTCAAAGCCGATAATCCTTCTTCCTTTTTCTTTTACTGCAATGATACCCTTAATTTGTATCTTGTATTTCTCTCCATTTCGTCTACCAGTTATGCTTCTTTTCCTGTCAAGGTTTTAATGTGTCATGTTCGTATTCATATTCGTTGTCTCGCTGGTCATCTTATCTTCATCAATTCTTCTTCGAGGCGCTCGTCATTTCTCTGAAGCAATTATACCTCGTGTAAATGGTTGTTACCTCATTATTATATTACCTCATTTCGCCTAGGTTTTTGGAAACATTTTTGTCATATAATATGAATATAGTTTGAAATAACAGCTATATGTATATAAAAGTTCATTAATCTCAAAACATAAAAGATCGACTCAGAGAGGAGTTTTAGTACAGCAAAAAATTGTCTTTAAAATTCTAACTTTAACGCAGAAACAGTCTTATAAAATCTTTAACAGTAGGTGGTTCTAATTATTCTATTGGCATCAATGTATCAATAATGCATCTCAACCTACAGCATTCTTTTCAAAAAAACTTTCTCCAGCTCAGACCCGTTAGTCTACTTTCGATCGTGAATTATTTGCTTTTTATACATCATTCAAATATTTTCGACATTTTATAGAGGAGCGATCAATTTATTGTCTTAGTAGGTCACAAATCTCTAAAAACTGCTTTCAAAGAGGTGATATTAATAACAAAATTTTTTTGTGAGAAATAAATATTATTGTATAATCACTACTAATATTACAGTTGTTATAATCAAATCATATTATTTAAAAAAAAAACGTTATTTTATGTATATTAGTCATTGAATTTTGGTCTTATTTTAAAATATCACCAGCTAAACAACCCAACTTAATTCTTTTGAGCAGCTATCCTTTTTTGTGCTCTTACTGCATCTTTACACTCAGGAATAAAGTGAATGACATTTTTCTAACTAACCTCGTACGTATGAATTGTAGGCACACTTTGGAATTTAAACCACAATTTACGCAAAAAAATCGAAGACATTTTTAAGTTCTTATAATTCACTCTTTAGAATATTTTGGTTTTTTAGGGAAATTATTATTCAATCAGAAAGTGATGATAAAAAGAGCTATTTCTAAGAGCATACCACTCAAAGATTTTTTGATCGAGAGGAAAAATTCATATTTTTTGGTATGAGAAAATTCTAAGAAGATATTATCTATCATATTTTAAGAAGAAATCATATCACGAAGAATAATAGACACTTCAAGTGCAGCTCAAGCAGCAACTAAAGTATCACAAACATCAGGCAAAACAATAAAAGCGTATAAAGTTTGCAAACAAGTACCAAAAAGAGATTCCGGTTTTTTGGAAAAACATGTTATTTAGTGATGTGAGTCAGTTTCATATTTTTGGAAAGGAAAGCCATCAAAAGTAAATGTGATACAGTGGAGGTTCGGTTATGATCTAGGGCTATATGTGAAATTTTGACACTGAAAATGGAATTCTTTAATTTCTAGAATGCTTTTCAGTTTCATCAGAAGCACATGTTTTTGGCCACCAGTTTTTATAATCTATGATATCTTCTGTTGCAACTTCCTTTACAGTACAAGCGTTTTTGGCACTAGAAGTTATAATAAGTTCAGTGGATGTATGGACATCATAAACTCAATCAACTTTCCGTAAGCTTCCCTTAATCACTCCAAAATCTCTGTCACAGGGTAAAACAGAATGTCCTCGCAAGGGGTAATACTGCTGCACCTTTTGAAACCTTCCACTTTCAGTTGAGGCCACGCATGCTCTTATTATGCAGTGATTCTTGTTTTGCCCTGGACAATTATCAGAAAATAATCGGAGTTCTCTTACATCAAAAGAAACATACTTTTTTTTTGGAGTTATCCTCTAGATAACCACTTTCTCTAGGTTCAAACAAACTTGTGGTTTGAAGTAGTTAAGGAATCTTTACACCATTGCTAAAAGTAGAGTAAACAGTAATGCTCGGTATCCAAGAATTTAAAACTCTGTGTCATACGAACAAACATAAGCCAAACATTACAAACGCATATTTTATACTACATCATGGAAAAGGAAGTTTAAAAAGCATAATTACTAAATTGAGGTATTATAAAATATTATTGATGAAAATTCTTTTCATTCTTCATCACCATCCCAATTCTTTACCTTTAATTTGTTTATAAGAACTTTTCATCCCAAAAGTATCTAAGAAATCTATCTGTATTTTGTTATATTTTTATTCTGTGCTTATTTTGTTTTCATGGACAGATTGCAAACTTGTTTAATTTACATCTTTTCTATAAAGAATCATTTCGTCGAACAACGTCGAGAGAAAACCCAGTTAATTTGTAATGTAGAAGTAACAAATTATTAAGTAGGTTAGAATAGTTACTAGTGAGTATAAATGAGTGCGTTATGTGTTGTATGGTGGCGGTGTTCGCTGGGAAGACGAGTACGATTTTTGTACTGAAAGGTGACACATCGTTGTAACTTAAACGTTGTCAATGATGCATTAATTATTAAAACTATTATGTCTTTATTATTACATGAAGATCTCACCATTGGTAACCATTTCAAAGTCATTTATGTACTTTGGCGATATATGGCTTACTTTTACATAGCTTTCATAATTAAACTCACCTACATACTTTGAAATTTTTAAAATCATAGTATTCGTTGTAATTCGTACTTTGTTATTATTATAGACGTCAAAATTGATAACATTTGTCACCAACTAGCTAGGTAATTCGTCATATAATCACATATAAAACTATGAATAGGATGTACTATATACGTAATATTACAAAACGTCCAATGAAACGTTTGCGCTGCATATCAGATTCAATAAGCGATCCATCAATCGACAATAAGGAAATAGGTGAACCACCAATTAAGAGAAGTCGAAGATTAGAAGTGAAGAAAAGCAGGAAAGCAATGGAGAACGCAAAGTTTCAAGTGATTGTCAGAAGACGTCGCCGTCAATTGAAAGTAAAGCAGGCCCGCCTCTTCAAACCTAAATAAGCACTTTGTATTTTATATTATTTTTCTATTTGTTCGACTTCTACATATTAGTAATAATAACCTTACACTGTTTTATTAGAAAATGGGAATAAAGTAAATTGCAACCTTCACGGTGTTAAGTGGGTCGTTTTATATTGGTCATGTTCGTTGTTGCTAGGAAAGAAACTTACGGCAGTCTTTGTTCATATTACCTTCTTAGAACAAGATGAAATTGTGACACATGTATTTCGTGCGCTTTCTTGGATCGATTGGTATTACATAATGGTAAATGCAATTTTCTGGAACATAATTATCCCTCCTTACTTCTTGTATATGTAATGTGTTTTGAGTACAGTCACCTAATTTCTTTTTTATCTATAAATTTTGATAGAATCAAATGTTAACATACAATTTATTAAATTTGCTGATTGTTTGTCTTAAATGGTATTTAAGATTCAATTTCGATATAAGTGTCCCAAGTTTAAATACGGAAGCTTTTGTATTTATATCTTGTTTCGATCTCGCTTTAATAAAATTAACATGGTAATCTATTAAGGTGGTAAACCCATAATTGGGTATAATAATATAGCGGTCAATTAAACATTTATCTCGTTGAAAGAGGTATATATAGAATTTTGCGCTTGCGTCGTTATAATTATTGTGAAACGGAATTGGGCAATTTATCTTTTATCTAACCGGAGATCTCCAAACTGCATATGTATATACGGCGGAAATAAGAAAGTTGCGAGCTTCTCTGATCTTTACATGAATCACCCAACTGACCACGGTGTGGAAATTTTAATATATTCCGTGCCATACGAAGCACATCGAGAGTTCAATTCTTTCGCGGAATGTTTCCTTCATAATTTCCTTAGTTTTCATAATTTAAAAAAAAATTAATTTCAAACCAACTGTCGCATTAACGTTTGCGTACAATAAAAACAAATTAATGATTTTAATCTTTTAAATGAACAAATATACGCTTTCTAAAACTTAGTTTTAAACATTTAACTTTCGTTTTTTTTTATATAACTCAAAATTTACTTTTTCTTCAAAACATTTTTATTAATATAATTTTTATTAAAGTAATTACGATATCGTAAAGGTTTGAAATAATTACCTCATACATGCGGTTGATGGGAAAGCGAATTCTTTGATGTTGGATCAATAGATCAACCTTAAATCGCATTAGCTTTATGCGAACCGATGTGGGTCAGTGCTTCAATAAAGACCATCATGATCGAACAATAACAGAAAAAATTGTATACAGAAACGAAACTTAACCGAAACCAGACCGTTTGTGGTGAACGGGAAGTGAACGGAAACTGTTATAAAAATGTGTGTTCCTAAACCACAGATGTTCGCTATTTATTTCTGTTAAATTTACCAATGGAATTGGAACAATTACATATTCGACATTTAATTGTATAAAAAAAATCTTGCGGTTTTACTTTACGAAAGATAAAGCTATAAAATGTTACAAAAATCGATGCTGATTCACCTCTTTCAATTTATCTTTTCGACTTTAACTGATGCATAATTTAGAATGTTGAATTAATAAATGATTGAGAAGTTGGTTTAGTGATTCATCAAGTTAAGTATTTTGAAAGGAAGAAAGAATTTTTATTTAACTATTACTTCCGATTTATTAAAATTTATGAGAGAGTGGCCGAAATTTTACGTCCACTCAAATTTAAGAAATGTAACGAAACGAAGGGGCTATTGTTTGTTCGTGATCCGTAAAAAGTGAATGTAGATTATTACGATGCGCACGTATCTAACTCTGCGGAACATTCTCGATTAGGGGAACATTTCTGCACGGATTATGGCTCTCCAAACCCGGCAGATGAAAGACCCCACCCATGAAAACGAACGAACCGTTTCGTCTTCGGGTATATATAGAGATTTTGATAAAAGCAGAGTCAGTAGCAGATCACATCATCATCCAGTGTAGTGACTAAGAAAATACATCGGTACAGTAGCCATTTCAAAAAATTATACCTTCTTTTGGTAGACTTTATTATTCATATTAATCATTACGGATTTTAATTCTAATTAATAATCATCTACCAAAGAAGATTCATTTCACCAACTAACCAAATTATCATTTCCAGAATTTTCAAAAATGTTCAAATCTCTGATTGTTATTGCTTGCGCCTGTAAGTAACCACCCCTTTTATTTCTCCTTTCTATAAAACTAACCGCAATTATTTTTTAGTTGCGGTTGCTTCTTCCGGTAACGTAAAGAGGCGAGTAGTCGTCGAAGATAGCAAACCAGCCGCCGGTGGACATTACCAGTCAATTTCTCTTGATGATGGAGGACATGGTGGTTACGGAGGTGGTGGTGGTGGAAAAGGATTTTCCGCTGGAAGTGGATTAAAAACCATTGCCCAAGGAGCTTCTGAACAAGCCAACAATGCCGTTATCAACCAACACGCCGCCGCTAAACAAGCCGCTTTTGCAGCTAAGAGTACTTTGGCACAAGCTGCCGCTGGAGTAAGTTCACAATTCCACCTAATTATCATTAATAATTAATTTTGTATTTCTACTAAAAAGGCTGCAGCTACTGCCCAAGCAGCTTTGATTGGCAAACACATTTTGGTCCAAAAACTCGAAGCTGATGTAGCTGAAGCTCACCAACAACTCCAAGCTGAAATCGAACAATTAAAACAAGCCCAAAGAGCCGCAGCTGCCGCCCAAGAAGCCGCCAGACAAGCCCAACAACAAGTCAACGCCATCAATGCCGCCCTTAACGCAGTTCAAGGAGCTTCGTCTCACGCCCAACAAGCCGCCGAAGAGTCCGCTGCCGAATTAGGGTCCCAACAAGCTATGGTTGGCGCTGCCAAACAACGATTGTCTTCTTTAGGACAACAGCTCCAAGCTGCTCAATCAGATCTCCAAGCAACCGAAGCCGCCGCTCAACAAGCCCAATCCGCTGCTCAAATTGCCCAATCTAACGCCGCCCAAGCCGCTGAAAAAGCTACCGCTGCCAGTCAATCGCAAGGACACGGTGGAGACTACGGAGGAATTTCCGATGGAGGATTCTCATCGTCTGGAGCTGACCTCGGCGGTTACCACCACTAAACTGATTGATCACTTTATAGTGAATTGATACGTCGTTAGATATGTTGTAAATGAATTTTTTTCTATTTTTATAGCAAATATACCTTATTATAATTGTGATAACAATTTCTTGTTTTATTTCATCATTAATAACTTATCAAACAATAAGTTTTCAAAATCAAGTATTAGAGCTTAATGAAATCATCTTAAATACTGCTCATTTTAACAATTAATTTATTAGTTATCAGGAAGTAATCGTAATAACTGTTTGGAGTTTAATATAAGATAAACCACAAAATAAATTCATGATATTTTTGAGGAATGCAACTACATATTCTTATTATGGAGTCTTGTGGTGATTTGAAATACTCTTTAAACTAATTAGGCATTTCGAACTCTTAACAGTAAATCCTCCTGCTGTAACAATTAGAAAAATGCTATCTATGCTGTATATAGAAATGTCCATTTCTATTTCTTGGATATACGTTTGGTGTGTGATTGTGTAAACAGCATGTTACATCAATTATTGTATCAATAGATTACGTGCTTTATAAGAATAAAATATTCTGAATATTTGCGAAAGAAAGCACTTGCAGAAACATTATCTAACAATACTATTAGTGATGTATAAAAATACTATTTATAATTATCGCCGTTTTTAAATTATGATGACGAACAAACTTTTCAGGAGATGTGCTTAAAAAAACTTATTAATTTTTAAAAATCAATATACATATATAAAACAATATTTTACATATTTCTCTCACATTTCTTTCTAATAAAAAATTTCACACGAAAATTCCAATATTTATTTATATGATAAGTGCATGATGCACACGAAATATCTAATTCAAGCATGTCATGTTATCCCTGTGCAGAAATAAAAAAATTGGTGTAATTAATTTCCAATTTATTTATCTTGCTGTATATGCAAAGCTTTTCATATTGAATTGCTTTGGTAGTTACACGAAGACTCTGGAGCGCAGCACCTAGAACTTGATGACCAAATTATCCTTTTTTGCAGTTTATTAATAAGGAAAAAATTGCTATCAGCACAACTTTTAAGTTTCTTGTCTTTATTTACATTCAAAATGACCTGAACATTGAATTTTCTTCTGATTTTGTTCTGATCAAGTCATTTTACCTACTTTGAAGATTGATAATACATTGAGCAATGTGATGGTTCCAGTATTTCTATAAGAAAAAATCTGCTGCTCCTATTTCGTTTTTTATAATATTATGTTGTTAATGTATTATGTTAAGGATAGATTTTCTGTGCACTTTTCTGTATTTTGAACCCCCTCACTAGTGAAGTGCATGTTAAGTCTTTTCGTATTAAACTCTAGCTAAGATGGTGGAACGTAGTTATTCAGAATTCTGCTACATATCTTTCAATTCTAGTTAGATGACTTATGTTTAGAAAAACTTACTCTATCATGAAGCCAGTCTTTGGAGAAACCGGTTTAAATTTCAGGTAGATATTTGCTATTTTATTGTAATGAAGAAAAAATCTCGAAACATGTTTATGATAGATTAGAAACATTGGAACTCTCACGAGGTGTTCTCACTAGGAGTAGTTATCAGTTCTCTGGATGATCATAGAAATGTTTATGTTTTTTCAGAACTCCTTAAATATCTCAGGAAAACCTGAAATGTTGAAGTATATGCATAAAAGTGCGTAAATATGCTTAATAATTGCTGAATATACCTATCTAAGAACTTTCTGACCTCTCCTTTCTGATATCTTAGTATACTATTGAGTTTGTTTCAACAAACGAAGCACTCAAATTTAAAGTATGTGTATCGAAAACCCACCCATACAGACATAATTACACTTTTCATGACCACGTTCAGAAGTTATTAGCAGTTATTTCAACTCTTAAAACTATATACTTATAGAGTCCATCCAGTGATGTATTCTAATTTTATTCTCACACACAATGCTCTCCTATTATATACAACACACTACAAAAGATCACATGGTTTTCTTCTCATCAGTCTTCAGATGTGGTGTTGGTTGTCCAGCAGTTGAAGAGTCTCTGCATTGTTGTTGAAATGAAGACTAGCTTCATGTTTTTCAGTTAATCCAATTCATAAATGCATTGACCATATACCATGTATCCATTCCAATATTTATCAGAATTTTGCATATACCAGGTTACATTAACTATGTATCGTAGCAATATATTCAGAAACATTTGAATATACTTGATGTTCGAGTCACTGGCACAGCTCTAGAACTAAACGCCATAGTGTCATATTATCAGATTGCAAATCAGTAGTTTGTTGAAAATTAAATGTTTGGAGTTACTTCCATTCAGCCAATAAAGCTGTCTGTATTTAGGGCCAATTCTGCTCTTTTCTTCTTTACATGCTCTTTTCAGCTAAGGTTGATGCCCAGACGAGTAAGTTATACTAAATCAGACAAATACACTTTTTGTTCATATGTTCGAAATACTTTAAGTTAGGAATTAATTGAAATCAATAACCGGAAATAATCGTAATGTGACTATTGCTATTATTTTTTGTAACTTATAATAGAAAATACAAATATTTAGTAAAATAAATTTTATTTCAACACGCGTCGAATGTTAGCTTCGTAGGCAGCCCTCGAGGAATCACTTTCTGAATCAGAATCATCATTCAGCGATATATCATCATCAAAAACCACCAACAAAGCAGGATTTTCGTTATCGGGAACAACTTTAACGTCTGTTAAAGATCTTTCCTCTTTCTTTAACTGTTCGTTGATTGTTTTAACTGTTTCTTTTGCCTTTTCCACAACTTTTTTCTGTAGAATAATCTCGCCCATAGCTTTTTCGCTAGCCTGTTTCGTTCTAGCAACTGTTTTATTCGCAGCACCTATCGCAGCCGTTAAATTAATAATTAATTTATTCGCCTGTTGTCCAACCATTTTTGCAGTGTTAATAATATTTTCGTACTGCAATAATTGGTGTTCTTCACCTTTCAGAACGTTTTGGGCATCTTCTAATTGTTCCTTTAGCTTTTTAATGAGTTGTTGCTTTTCTTCGAAAAATGTATGATTGTTGAACTAAAAATTAAATAATGTCACGACAGAAATTAAGTTAGTTATTTTTAACCTGTGATGGCATCGAAAATTGTTGTCGAATCATTGTTAGGGGATGAACGAATAATTTAAAAAAAGAATTTAGATGTTTATCTCGAAATATTTCAGGATCTCTTATAGTGTCCAAAAAAAGGCACGATAAAAGATTGAAACGTTACGAGATATTAATGTCAAATGTTTAAAAAGGTCAAAATTATGTCACAATAAAGAAAAATGACGTAATTTCAATAAACTTTATTTTAATGCAAAATTATAAAAAGAACTACATAAAAAATAATACAATGCAACAACAACTATAATAATTATTTTTAATGATGGAAACCTCCTAAACCGGATGAAGAAAATCCATGGTGTTCTTGTTGGTGGTCATTAGAAGCAGCTTCGGCGGCTCTAGCCGCGTTAGATTGAGCAATTTGAGCGGCCGCTTCAGCTTGTTGAGCGGCTTGTTGAGTAGCCTTTAAATCAACTTGGGCACTATGCAACTGACCGGCCAAATTACCAACTCTCTGCTTAGCTTTAGCCACCATCGATTGTTGTAATCCATATTCTGCTAAAGCTGCTTCAGCAGCTTGTTGAGCATGAGCTACTGTTGCTTGAGCGCTATTTAAAGCCGAGTTTAAAGAAGATATTAGCTGTTGAGCTGATTGACCGACTTCCGATGCGGAACTGGCGGCTCTTTGGGCGTGTTCTAATTGTTGAGTTTCAGCTTCTAAAGCAGATTGAGCTTCACGTAATTCTTGTTCTAATCTTTGTACGAGAATCTGTTTCCCAACTAAGGCAGCCTGAGCGGTAGCGGCAGCCTGAAAATACGATAGATACTGTTAACCTTGAAAGAGAAAGTAACGAGGGGTAATTAGACCTAAACGGGATGTAATGAAACTTCACTAATATGGATGGTACTTTTACAAACTGGATGTTTACGGTTACGTTTACGTTTGATAAAATGTAAGGATCTTTAATTGTGGGATTCCTAACAAGAAAATCATTCTATTTAAATAAAATTAATTAATAACTTATTTAAGTTTAATAGACTTACTCCAGCTGCTGTTTGAGCTAAAGAACTTTTAGCTTGAAACGCGGCTTGTTTGGCGGCGGCGTGTTGATTTAAAACGGCGTTATTAGCTTGATCTGCGGACCCTTGTGCAATTGTTCTCAATCCACTTCCAACGCTGAATCCTTTTCCTCCTCCATGTTCTTCGTGACCTGAAATTACAGCAATCGAACTGAAATGTCCCGACTCGGCGCCAATGACATCTTTATCGGGAACATGGATTGGTTTCATAATTGGATTGCATTGAATTAGAGCGACTAAAAATAAAATAAAAGATTAAGTTAGTTCAAGATTAAAATTTTTAAAATTATTGTAATACCGCTGCTAACAAGTACTAAATATCCCAACATCTTTACTTGATTGATGAACACTAGATAACAACCGATAGATATCGAAAGCGAATTTGTAACTGAACTTGACGATGTGTAGTTGGTTTTTATATAGCTCGTTCCCAGAAGAAGAAGTTTCTTCTCCCTATCCGGGCAGACGTGTTTTTGGAAAGCAAGCAGCGTGTAGGAAAACTCGCCACATTCCTTCCTGGCTGTCAGACGTTATCCTGCTATTTAGTTCCGCACATCGACCAGATCTAAGAAATTTTCCAAAAGCGGTTTCGGACCTGCTCCACATGCATTTTTGGGTAATAGCTAGCCTTTTTTGTAAACGATCGCGTAATCAGGAAGAAACTCCGACCGAATTCTCGTTCTCTGTATTTTCGCATTCTTCTCTACAGAATTTCAAATTTTGTCTCATTGCTTCGAGATCGTTAAGAATCATTTAATCGCTTTACATTTACAATCTTTTATCGTTTTCTTTGTATGTGGTTGACACAGATTTCTTTGTTTGGAGATTAGTATTTAGAGTATTTCGAACTCAATTGGTTTTTGTAACTATTTCAGGAATGGGCAGATTAATCAAGATTCTAAGATAAGTAAGAATTTGTGTTATGGTCTTGTTAGGATTGCTTTTTTATAAAAGACTACATTAAATTAATTGTTTTTTTTAATTTAAAACTTATAAATCATATAGAATCATACCTTCATTTACGGTATTAACTGGGTCTAGCAAAACAGAGAGTAAAGTGGAATAAAAAAATAACTGAGTGTTTATTTATTTGAATGAAATAACGATTTTTAATGAAAAACAACTGTGAGAAATCTATATGTCAGGAATTTTACAGTATTTAAACCAATAGTAATATGTCTCCCCGTATAAAGTCATATTTAGAAGCAGGGATGATTGGACGAAGGGTGAGCGTCAACTTAAGAGAGGAGCCCTTGGCTGGTACACCGATGTTTCAAAGTCATTAGTCGACCAAATAACCGCATTAAATTGCCCTTCATCTCGGACATAACCATTTTTCAAGCAAAAGTCCTGCTATAAACTTCTGCACCATTTTGAACATAGAAAAGGTGCAGAAAGATGCATCCATAAACATTTTCACAGACAGTCGGGCTTCCCTAAAGGCAATTCAGCCCTACACGTGTCACTCTGCACCAATCAGAGACCTTTACTTGATGCATCTATCGTCAGTGAAAGAGCTGCTTATGTGCAAGAATGACGGATTTTGATAAAAGTTCTTTGGCTGTAGTGAAAGAAATGTCGTATGATGTGTCCAGAAAGCGATTGATTTAAGTTTTTGTGACTAATGTGTTTTTGATAAATGATGTAAAAGAGCTAAAATGTTTGGCAAAAATCTGTGATAAGAATTTATCATTCCTAAGAATCGCTATAATTGTTTAAGTGTGGTTGGTTGTGGAAATTCAGTTATGGCAATAACCTTTGATTGCGAAGGGCGAATGCCTTCTGTAAAAATATGATAACTTAGAAAATTTAAAGTTCTAACTTCAACACATTTTGTTGGTTAAATATTGATATTGCAAGAGGTTAACCTCTCAAGCAATTGTTGTAAATGACGATAATGTTCTTCTTCATTGCGACTGGCTACTAGAATATCATCTAAATATATGAAAAGGAAATGTAAGCCAGAAAGAACGTCGTTTATGAACCTTTGAAAGGTTTGTGCAAAAGGCATTTTGTCCGAAAGGCATTCTCGTTAAGTAATTCTAGAATAGGTAATCAATAGTTGGGATGCTTCAAAGGTAGCCTTACAGTATGATAAGTCCATTGCAAAACAAAACCTAATTGGTTTTATGCCTTAGCAAACGGGATCTAAGGTCGCTCTCAGGCTTCCTGACCGACCATGCGCCCCTAAAATACCATCTCTTCCACTTTGGACAAGCTGAGCATCAAACTTGTCGACTTTGCAACGACTACTCAGAGACTGCTGCCTAAGGAACAAAATTTTCGGTAAAGTACGCCTGACACCTACCGACGTAAAGGAACCTTGGAGCAATACTAAGGTTCATCAAGGACCTACATTTGCCTTAAACCTTTGGAGGGCTTAAGTTATAATAGATCTTATAGGGCTTATAGGTCGCGATGATAAGAGGGGCCCCCTCAACCAGGCAGCAATAATAATAATAAGTTTCGGAGAAAAATGAAGTAATTCAACAGAATTTTACAAAACACTTCCTGCAATTCCATAAAAAAAGATATGCCGTTAAAGGTATATCACAGCTAAAGCCCAAAACTATCTTCTAACTACCAACACAAATATATTAATCCCATACTTGCCACATTTATTGGGAATAAATTGTCTAAAGTTACGTTTTCCATATTTTGTTACTGGTGTACTCATTTGCATCTTTATCAAAACGTAATCATTGAAGTAAAAATCTAAAAGGATCCAAAACCATCTGTCTTAACACTTAACACTTTTGAAACACAACATTCCTTGTTTCGATTAAATCATGGTTTTAAGTTTTTATCAAAGCAGTCTTCTTCTTAAAGTGCCATGCAGATTCTTGCGTAGGCGTTCATCGTTTTTCTATCAGATGGCTTTATTATGTACAGCATTCTGAAATGTTTGGAAGTCCTATATTCATGTCTACTGACGGATATTTCTGAGCCACGATAATTTTTTCTACCTATTCCTCTTTTTCCTCCCTCAAGTTTTCCCTGGAGAATGAGGCATTGAAAATCTTCCTTTTCTTGATATTTTCAAAAAGTTCTCGTTCTCCTAAATCGGCCCTTCGGAAAACGTGTTCTTTACTCAGAAGACATTTTCAACATTTGCCTCAGGTAAATTCGAATAGTTCAAGTTTGTTGATGATTGATATTTTCAGCGTCCATGTTTCAACCCCATATAGCAGAACGGACCAGACGTAGCATCTTACCACCCTATTTCTGAGGCTGAAATTCAGGTTCTTGTTCATAAGAAATTTTCGAATTCTTAGAAAGGTTATTCTAGCTGTTCAATCCTGTATCTTATGTCTTGATCCGGGTTCCATCCCTCATTGGTCATGTATCCCAAGTATTAAATTGTTTGACCTGTTCGATGATTTCTCCATCAACATGTATTCGAGTATGTAGAGTATCCTAGTAATCACCATAAGTTTGGTCTTGCTGAAGTTAATTTTCAAACCTCGTCTTTGACTTTCTTCGTTGCCCTGGTTCAGTAGGTTTTACAGATCATGTGCATTATCCGCTAATATCACGGTGTCATCCGCATACCGGATATTGTTCCAGTTACTTTAATTCCAAAGGGACTATTCGAAATTGACTCGGAGAATGCTCTTTCTACGTACAGGTTGAACAGCATCGGGGACAAGATACACCCTTGGCGAACGCCCTTTCAAAATCCTCAGTTGTTCCAGCGTTATTTACTCGGATTTCCGTTTTTTGGTGCCAATAAAGATTACCAATTAGTCTCATATCCTTTGCATCCAGTCCCAGATCTCTAAGGTATGTTATCAGAAAATTGTGTTTAACATTGTCAAATGCCTTCTCATAGTCGATGAAGCACATAAAGACGTCTTTTCTTTGATCTTGGCAATTTTGTACCAGTGTAAAATCACATATCAAAGTAGTAAACTACGGTAAACAAGAGAGCGCATCAACTACTCTCGTATTATTTCTTTCACCTCATATTTATCAAAGTAATTTACTGTTTATTAGGCTCAAAAGTTTTATTGGTGACTCTTTCTGGCACAGATCTATTTGAAATGCTTTACAATCATTTGACATACTTCCCAAATTTTCTTTAGTTTTGATGCAAGTTATATTTTTGAAGCAAAAAAAAATCTTAATCAGAGAAAATCTATATTCTGATATGATGATGTCAAATATTAAAATTTTAAGTAATTTATTGGTGGTCTAATAACCTCTCTGCAGAAGTTTCACCGCCACTTTATGAAGTATTAGACAAAGTAAATTTCATTTGTGGTCCAACTGGTTCCAACTTTCTGCTACTTTAAAAATTTCGATGCGGAATAGCGGATTAATCGACAAAAAGTTGTATCTGCTCAACGTGTACTTAGTTTTATATTAAGTGTTGCAATAAGCACCAAGTTCGAACGTAGCTGAATTGAGAAATAGAATAATCGAATAGTCAGTTGTTTGATCAGTGTCAGAGTTAGAATTCCTCATAAATCATTATTATTGTTGGATTTACCACAAGATATAGTGAAGAATAAGATGCTACAAGAATTTAGTCAAAGATTATATTCTGAGTTTAAATTGAAGGATTCCCAGCAACCCAATATTACTACTTTTATCATCACATAGAATATTATTAATTATTTATGGTCTAATTGTCTGTAATTGAGAATGTCGTAAAGAGTTTAATATCAAACTTGTTTTAGAATAAATAGAACTTAAAAATCTATGACTTTATTTCAATACTGTATATCACCAAAATTGTGAAAACAAATTTTGATCAACTCTATATATGTGTTAGAACACGTGTTCTGTCAAACATTCTAACCTAAAAAAACTGTTTGTCATTTAACATTTATAATAATAAATAAATACAATAAAAATTCAGACAAATAACTTATTAGAAAACTTGTTAATAAGATCAATCAGCATGGGTAGAAGAAAAGCTGGCTTTAGAAAGCCGAAACAAGCCAATAATGCTCAGGTAATAGTAGTAATACTTAAGAATTTCTTGTTTTTACTTTTATACCGGAATGTTCTCAGGTACAAGGTCCTAGAAAACCTTATCAGGATATTATTAGAGAAAACGAAAAATTTATACAATACTACAAGGTAATTTGGTCAATAATTTAAAAATTTTTGTAACTTATTGTTTTATTCCTTTTAGACTCAAGGAATTTGTAAAGTTGAAGAATGGGACACCTTTATTTCTGCATTAAAAAGTGATTTGCCAGCTACATTTAGAATTACTGGATCTAAAGGGGAGGCTAAAAAAATGCTGGATATTATTAAAGATATTTTTGTAAAAAATTGTTTGAATGAACCATCTGAAAATGGAGAAAAGAAACCTGATATTTTTCCTTTACCTTGGTAAATATTTTCAAATTAACCAAAAAAGTTTTAATAATATTTTTGTTTTTGTAAAGGTATCCAGATAATTTAGCTTGGCAAATGGAATTAACAAGAAAAGATATCCGTAGGAATGAATCTTATTATAAACTTCACAACTTTTTAATATCAGAGACAGAACATGGTACAATTTCAAGACAAGAAACTGTTAGCATGATTCCTCCTCTAGTTTTAGATGTTAAACCTCATCATAAAGTATGTTTTATAATGTTACAATATGATTTTAAAATATTGGCTCCAAATTTATTTTTAATTATTAAAATAAATTTAGGTTTTAGATATGTGTGCTGCCCCTGGTTCAAAAACAGCTCAACTTTTAGAACTATTACATGCCAGTGATGTTTCAATCCCATCTGGTTATGTTATAGCAAATGATGTTGATAATAAAAGATGTTACATGTTGGTTCATCAAGCCAAAAGACTTAATTCGCCTTGTGTTGCTGTTGTTAACCATGATAGTGCAATTTTACCAAATTTTAGTTGTACATTACCTGATGGTTCAACTGACCAAGTACAATTTGATAGGATTTTGTGTGATGTTCCATGTTCTGGTGATGGAACTATGAGGAAAAATCCGGATATTTGGATGAAATGGACTCCTGCTAATGGAGTTAATTTACATGGGTAAATATTGATTTATTGTTATATACATATTATATGAACTTTCTTATCTACTTTAAATTTTTGATTTAGAATTCAATCTAGAATAATAAGAAGAGGTGTTGAATTATTAGCTATTGGAGGGCGCTTAGTTTATTCAACTTGTTCATTGAATCCAATTGAAAATGAAGCTGTAATACACCGCTTATTAGCTGAAACTGATGATAGTTTAAAACTTGTTGATGTTGGCGATAGTTTACCAGGATTAAAATATTCACCTGGTAAAAACTTTTTTTAATGTTACCAAATCTTTTCCTTACCCAACACTTTTTATAGGAATGGAAAATTGGCAAGTTGGAACAAGAAACTTAGATTTTTACAACTCATTTGAGGAAGTTGATGAAAAATGGAGAACCACAATTCGCCCACAAATGTTTCCCCCCAAAGAGGAAGATAAATCAAAGTACAACTTAAATAAATGGTAATTTAAATTAAAAGTTATCACAAAAAATCATTAACATTACATTTTTAAGCATAAGAATTCTCCCTCATCAACAAAACACGGGAGCATTCTTTGTAGCTGTTTTAGAAAAACATAAGCCAATAAACGTCAAAGAAAAATCCTTTAAAATCACCCCACAAAGCGAAGAAAATAACCCAGATGAAGATACAACCACCTCTGATAACGATAAATTAAAAAATAAGCGACTAAATGAAGATAGGTTACCAGAAAATCAACGAAAACGACGCAGGAAGGAAGGGTATAAAGAAGATCCTTACGTTTTTTTTAATGAAACAGAAACGGTTTGGCCGAGTATCCAAAAATTTTATGATATCTCTAATGATTTTGATGTTAAATGTTTATTGGTACGGTGTAACGCTGGTAAAAGAAAGAATATTTATTTGACCTCACCAGCAATAAGAGATTTAGTTCTCCAAAATCAAGGCAGTATTAAATTTATTAACACCGGGGTAAAAACGTTTGTTAGATGTGATAATAGAAACATGAAAGAATGTGCGTTTAGGATTGCTAACGACGGTTTAGAAAGTGTGTTTGATTACATTGGGCATAATCGAAAAATATCAATTCCTCGAGATGATCTTATCACTCTCCTTATGAATACTAATCCTGAAGAAGCGCCGCAAATAACTTCGTTATCTGAAGAGATACAAGCGCAAGTTAACGATCTTCCACCAGGTAGTTGTATTTTGATATACAAAGAAGAAAATCCTGGAAAAGAGACGTTAATTTTGCATGTTAGCGGTTGGAGAGGAACTACATCTTTAAGATCTTATATGTCGCAACATAGTACAGTTCATTATCTTCGATTACTTGGAGGAGACGTTTCTAAATATGGTTTGTATTTGAGTTCATTTTGAAGAAAGAATTCCTTAGGGTTATTTTGTTTTGTTTCCAGATGTTAATAAGTTTAAGAAATTGGAAGAAGAAGGAGATAATGAAGCGAAGGTAAATGAAGAAAACAAAGAAGAAGAAAAAGTTGAAGAAAAATCTGGCTAAACTAAGTTTTGATGTTTTATTAAGACGAATTTTTAATTACATTTTATAAAAATAAATGACCAGGTGAAGTTACATAGAAAATGAATAATTTTTATGTATATTTTATAGTTTTATTTTTAAATATATTGAAGTTTTCCATTTATATAAAACATTATTAACATCATATTAATGAAAACAGTTATTGCTCTTGGTTCTATCCTAACCAAACATGCTACTGACTAATGTTATTAATTTATTAATGTTATGTAAAGGTACTGGCTCAACACACAAAAAGGATAGTTATTTACATAACCAGATATGAAAAGACTAATTTTGTTTGACGATCGTAATATTTGCCAAAACGAGCGAGTTTTGCAAATTACGTGAGTTACACAAAATTAGCCGTTTCATATCGTGCTAAGTACAAGATTTTATCTAATTAGATTGAAAAAGCAATTTTTGTTCAAAACTTGACTTATTCTATTAATGACAGATGTCAATTTATCAATTTGTAGTTAGCTAATGGAATTCATTACATCACTAGTTATAAAAAAAGTAACGTTACACAACGTCAGAAAGACATGTAAAATTTACTTTTCATACTGGAATTAGGTAAAGAGAAGGACCCTTGAGAATATGGTGACAAAGAAGATTTTGAACAAAGTTAATGTCAATTCATGCATCGTTGTTCTCATTTTCTGGCGTTCTTTTCACTTGAATATTTAAAGTACGCATGCATTAGCAATTCAGGATCACAGAAATCCGACATATATTCTTACAAATAATTATTAGAGATTTAAATTCCATCAACAACTTGTATATGAGCTATGAAGCCCAACAAAATTAAACCAATATTCACAGGCAACCGCTGTATAGTTTGAAAGTAGCAATTATCATCATCATTTGTGATAATATAACTTCTCAGCCTTTTCCTTATATTCGTTGGTGGGCTTGTCGCTACCTCTTCCTGAAATTGTTATAGCTTATCTTCATCCTGCATCAGTTCTGATATTGATATTCTTATTTGAATCCATGTTGCAAGCTCTTAGTTAATATTTAAAATTGGTGATTAATNGTTCTCATTCTCTGGCGTTCTTTTCACTTGAATATTTAAAGTATGCATGCATTAGCAATTCAGGATCACAGAAATCCGACATATATTCTTACAAATAATTATTAGAGATTTAAATTCCATCAACAACTTGTATATGAGCAATAAAGCCCAACAAGATCAAACCAATATTCACAGGCAACCACTGTATAGTCTGAAAGTAACAATCAACATCATCATTTGTGGTAATATAACTTCTCAGCCTTTTCCTTATATTCGTTAGTGGGCTTGTACCTACCTCTTCCTGCAGTTGTTATAACTTATCTTCATCCTGCATCAGTTCTGATATTGATAGTCTTGATAGTTGTTAGTCTAAATTTTATTCTCAATCTTAGCAGAAAATGGTCCGAGTCAACGTTTGCAACTCTTCAGCTCTTTACATTCATAAGATATGACATACTTGGTCTATTTAGTTAAGTCCATTGGAGGAAAATTAATGTGACTTATGTATGTCTTTTCGTTCCAAAACTACCAAACCCTACGAGACTGTGATATTTACTACCCTCACTACGTCCTTATTGTTTTCATCGTGAAGGCTATTGTTTCCTATCTGTTCTTAGTACTGCTATTCTTTACCTATTTGTGCGTTGAGGTGTCTTTTATGTCATTGTTTCGGACACCGTTTCCAACTCTTCGTCCTTTTTTTCTATGCAAAGAATTTCCGCTTAACCGTTAAACTGCGTATTCTGGGACTCAATGGTTCGAAACCAATTATCTATTTCTTACAGTATTTGATTATGACGAAGGCAGTTCTGATCGCATGCCTGCTGTCACTGCAACTATAGAACAGAACTTGGTCCTGTCTGTCTAAGTTCTTGAATAGCAGCTATTCCAACCTTGTACTTTGCCAGGATATCTCTTAGTTAGGAATCCATTTTTCGTCGCTTCCTTGGAGCCTCCGTTTTTGTGACAATTCGTTTTACACTAAGATTATTTAGCACAGTCTTCCGCAGGATTCCCCAGGTTTCCAAGATCCACCAACTTGGAGCTGGGAGTCAGAATGGACTAAGAAGAAACTAACAGCATCTGCCTCTTCTAATCGTAAAGTGACTGGTACACAATATCTGTTTTTGCAACAAACCAGCCCAAATTTTTCATGAACGTTAATATAGAACAGAAAGGTATATTCCTTATATCCGAAATTTGGAGCCATGGTACTCCGAAAATGGATTCCCTTAAGTACGCGAGGTTGGGACAGTCACAAACAATATGACTTACCGTCTCGTCTTCCACTTCACATCTTCTACAGAGGGGTGTATTCGCCAGTTTCATGTAAAACATGTGCTTACGTAACCTGCAGTGGGTGAGAAGCCTCAAGTCACTTTTTGATTTTCCCAAAAACTGAGTAGATCTCTTCCAGTCAGGATAGAGCAGAGTTTTCTTAGCAAAGACACCTGCACAAAAAGCTCTATGGGAGATGAACAGCTAGTGGTACAAACGGTTCAGGGGAGATCGGGGGAGATCTCGTTAGCTGCCCGTTTCGCTAGCCTGTCCGCATGATCATTTTCTTTAATTCCGATGTGTCCTTTTCGCCACTTTATCGTGACGTTGTTGGATACGTTTGCCTCCTCGAGTGATTGCCGACAGAACTTCACCAACGATGATATAGTTTGGTGCCTACCAACCGCCAGCATAGCCTGTCTGCTACCATTGCAGATTACAACGTTTCTGCCGACTTTTTTGGAGTCGATGATAGCATCGGCTGCTATGTTTATAGCAGTTAATTCGGCTTGACCAGTCGTGCAATACGATCCTAACGAAGTGGAAACGTGCAGCTGGAGATCGTGCGAGAAAATTCCCGCTCCGGAACCTCCAGCCTTCTTTGATCCATCAGCGTAGATGGTCAGCGTTTTGCCCGAGCTTGAGTTGCTTTGGGGTATCGTTTCGATGAAAAAGTGTGGCTTGCCTAAGAAAGCAGGTGTAATATCTAGGGGCAGCACGTTCAGCATTGTCTCCATCGCAATCGTAGGTGTAGATCTCATAGCGCCTGTAATTAGCAGACAGGCCAGTCGTTTATAATTTAGCTTTATATGCATGTTTTAGTGCTGAGCACCAAACTATGGCTCCGTGAGCTACCATGGGTCTTATCACAGAAGTGTAGATCCACATAGTAACTTTCGGATTTAGTTCCCAATAGCCCTTCGGCGCTGGATCAGTACAATCGTTGCTTTTTTGGTTTTGCAACTAATGTGTGATATCCAAGTTAGTCCTTTGTCCAAGATAACACCCAGATATTTCAACTCTGGAGCAAAGGTTAATGCATTATTACAGAAATTGGGTGGCGTTAAGTGTCCCAGTTTCTGCTGTTTAGTGAAGAGAACAGTCTCAGAATTTTTAGGATTGACAGAAAGGGTATGTTCAACAAGTTTAAGCGCCTACTGCATTCTGTAACAAAGAAAATTGTCAGGTTCACCTCTTAACAAGATAGCCACGTCATCGGCGTAGCCAACTGTGAAGAGATATTTATTGTTTAACTCACGAATAAGATCATCAACTATTAAGCACCAGAGAAGCGGTGAGAGTACCTCACCTTGTAGTCAACCCTTAACAACAGCTCTCTGTACTGTATGAACTTTCGCCTTAGCCTGAACAACTCTGCTTGTTAGTATTGTTTTTACAGCATTGGGCAATACTGTTTTGAAGATGTAAGGGAAGGCTATAACTTTGATAGTCCAACTCTATGTCCACCTGATTCAGAACTTCTTAGTTCCTGCATTTGTTCATTGTCCTTATGGGCATTAACAAATTTTATGTAACACAACTTTTCTCTGATTTTTTTATGAAGACTGGTATAGAAATAATATTTTGACCACCTCTACAGTTCTGATCATGTTGGATTCAAGTTTCAGCTAGTTTCAATGAAACGGGGGTGTTCTACAACTTCTGCTGTTATTAAAAATTCGAAACAATATTGTAGTAACTTTTAAGCAGTAATTTTACTAACAAGTTTGGACGTCTTACTGTACTTTAATACATTTTCTGATAATATTACATCAAAATTCAATGATTATAGAAACAAATACAAATTTTTTGCCAATTGTGAAATTTATTATAATAAATATCATACATATAAGAAATATCAAGCTAAAGAATAACATGACAATGGACGTATATCAATTGAGAACAATGTGTAAATTAATATCACATAATATTGCACTAGAATATATCGCACCAGCACGTGATAAACAAACTTTATATGAAATAATTTTAAACTATCTTATTTTTTTATGTTAACATCACTCTAAATGGGGTGTTTAGAATAATCAAAAACGTACAATGAAACATTAAAAACTTCTTTAACTATAATCTATTAGTAATATCTGTTAATTTTTCGTCGTGCAATTCGTTTTAAACTTAACTGAAACCGAATCAAGTTTTAATAGTGACCTGTTTTAATGAATTTTTAATTCGGGTATTTTTACTACATGGTTTATCTCCCATTAAATGATTCCTCCATGAGTTTTCTTCATCTTCCATGTTTCCATGACATAGTGGGCACCTGTTACAACCTTCAACCAATTCTATAACAATAATTTTTGTAGTTATCATAAATATTAATAATTTAATTAAGAAAATTTTACCCAAACATTCATCACTATGAGAGTTATACTCATCCAATCTTACTGCTTCTGTACATTGTGAACATTGCGTATATTGTTCTTTTTGTTCACATTCCATAAGTAAGTGTTCTGTTAACGCGGATACTTCAACAACTTGGCTACAAGCCTTACAACGAACCAACATAGGGCATGTTCTCCAATAATGCGAATTCATCGAATTACTAACCGCAAAAATACTCGGTTCAGATTGATTACAAAATATACAATGTTTCTCGTCATTTTCGTCTTTTTGCGAGTTGTTGCTTGGTGTTGAAATTCCGCTCGCTGAACTAGTACTTTGTTCATGTTCATTTTTCTTTCCATTGCAAGTTATATTCGAACCACTCACACTTTTTGTTAATGTATTTACGCCGTTTATTTCGTGATCGTTGTTCATGTTGGATATATTCATGGAACTTTGACATTTTAGTATTCCATTGTGATTTTCATTTAATTCGGGACTTGTACAATGAGTTGGTTCTTGATTTACGCATTGTTGAATTAAACGGTTTCGATCTAACATTTCTTTTTTTCTCTAAAAATAAAGTGTTAATGCAAATTTTGCCCTTTTTTTTTGATAAATTTTACTTGAATATCAATTTTATCAAATTCATGAAAGAGTTGTCGGTAAAGCAAATTTCTTCTTGTTATATCATCATCGGGGGGTAATTGTTTTCTTACCAAACGTGGATTAACTTTGTAAACTAGAACCAAAATCCTTTCACCTACTTTTCGGACAGCTTCAGCTGGATGATGCAAACCGCTTGAACCAAATTCTGATAAAGTTCTACAAGTTAATCCACTAAAAGAAACGTTAAGTTCAATAAACGATTTTTTTTTGTAAATGTTGAAATAACCTTTGTTTATCTGTTGATATGCCATGGTTAATTATGAGTTGTTCAACCATTTCAGCTCGACTTAAAGCTAATCGTGGATGAGTGCTCGTGTTAACTGGACGGCTTAAGTGTACAGGAATTATGTGTAATTCTCTAAAAAAAAATAAATTTTTAAACATTTTCCATTTTCCCTTTTTATAATAAAAGATCAATTTTACCTCACATTCTTACAATCAGCCATTGTTAGTATTGTATGAACAGCCATGTGATGAATTCTTGCACTTGTATCTCCTGATTTTGTTAATAATTCAGGTAAAAGTTTATCTACACTTCGAGATACTTCAGCAGGTGATACTCTAAAAATAATTTAATTGAAATAAAATTTGGCGAATAAAGTTTAAAAATTTACCTCCCTGGTACATATTGTACAAAATATAAACGAATAACCTCATTTGCTAAACTATAAACAGAAAATACTTTATCCCTCAACGACCTATGCAATAAAAAAATAGCAGCTCTTCCTGTTTTATTAGCTGTGTGCATTCGGGAATTATCATAACTTAAAAGTTCTTCCTTAAGCCTATTTAAACCTTCCTCTTTATCTAAATAATGTTTAGAATAAAATTTCTCGACAAGATCCGTTCCAAAAACTAAAATAGGTAACGCAGCTTGTTTCTTTTCACGTTCGGTTAATTTCGAACTTTGTTTTGGATCATAATCTATTTGGCATTCGCGAAGAAATTCGTTCGTTTGAGAACTACAAAAAAATTAGTTCAAATTAAGAATAAAAAAACAATTTTCTTTACTGTCTTAATGCAGGTAGTGGTTTTTCTTCATACTGCTCAAATGTTGATTTAACAATAGCTCCAGCAGATTTATTTCTTCTCCTAAACGATCCTCGTGAATGCAAATTAGTTGGACTTCCAGTGTTAGGTGATCCCATTTTGGGACTTTGATGTCTTGGAATGTGATGAGGAGAAACGTGAACTTGTAAAATATGAGATGAAGGAGCTGGAGAAGCGCATCTTTTCTCAGATATTTTTAAAGAAGTTGGTGATAATAAGTTTCTTGTTAAATCAGGTTCATCTGAACATTCGTCATTTTTTGAGCAAACGCCATTTTCTTCAAGCAGTTGTTCAACGTTTAATTGTTGATAAACGTAATTTCGGTATTCGTCCATTTGATTTTTTTTGTATCTAGCTCTATCGTAATCTTCCATTTCAATTGCGTGTTTCTTCTCTAATTCATATTTACCCAACTTTTCACCAGCATCTCTTAAATTTTGCATTGTTTGTTTTAATTTTCTTGCATATTCAAAACGTTCATCTAAAACAAATTCCCACAAAAAAGTTTATTAAAAAATCCAAATTTGGTTATTATTCATACTTAACACAGCCACATGTTTTTTAACTTCCATATCTCTTATAATTTTAACTACATCAGTATCAACATACATTTCAAAAGCTAAATCATCATAAGGAGATGTATATTCAGGATCGTTTAAAATATCTTGTAGTTTTTCAGTTAAAGTAATCTCTGAAGTTGAAGATCTTCTGCTTTCATTTTCGGTACCAAGAAGGTTAATAGCTATCAAACTGACTTGGTTATTAATATTATATGAGTTTTTATGATTTTTATGTAATTTTAATTTAACAAACGATGCAATACATTTTGGAACGTTAGCACTTTTTAATTCGCGACTCTTAAACCCTGTACTTTGATTATCAGATAATGTAATATACCCCAAATACTCCCAAGAAACGTTATTGATATCGCTCACTGTGTTTGTATCTTCATTACTTGAAAATAATTCTATTTTAGACGCTGTAACCCAGATATGAAATTACATTAAAGATACTTTTGTTACTCAATTATTTAGCGTGACTTACGAATTAAGTATTGATGAGCCAATATTTGTACTTTATCCAACGCACACCTTTTTTCCAATTGCACCACAATCTCTTGAGGGAAATCGCAGTTTTTTGACGACTGCCATCCTTTCACTGTGGGCGAGTGTATATTTAATTCAGAGCTTTTATATTTTGGATCTTCATCTATAATATTACATTTTTTAAGCACAAATTTTATAAAAAAAAATTATTATAATAAAAACAAAATTTACCGGTTGCAAAGATGACGTTAAAATTAATTTTCTTGGGCATTATTGACGGTACCTGTTGTGGGGTTTGGCCACAAAAAGGACACTTTACATGTCACCGAACCACTTGGGACGTGTATAAGAAAAAAAACCGTTCACGTGGTGTTAAATTGACACATCGTATTATTATTGATTTTCAGAGTCATACCCGAGGTTTGTATTTGGCGCTGTATCTACGTTTTCAGGTCGATTGGTACACATCCGCAACGTACTATCTTTATATTCCCATTGATGTATCATTGTGCGCATGTCCACTTAGAAATTTAAAGTTTTCCGAAAGCTTTTTATTTGGCTCTAAAAAATGTATGGAAATAGAGATGATTAAATACAGAGTGTAACATAAACTTTTTTTTCTTATAAACAGGTGGTCTTATTAAGTATTTAATTATTCATACAGACATACCGTGGTTTACGACCATCACTTTTCAAATTTCACACTTATGCACTCCCTTATATTCCTCCATCGTAATCGAATTCGGGGAAGGTCAGATTTTACAGCCAAGAAAATAGAATCAACGGAAAATATGACGTTTATTGTTAGCCTTAGATGGTTTCAAAAGCTTAAGAAGAGGTGAGACTTCAACATGAAAGTGCAAGTAGCTGCTGCAGATACTTAAAGTGCAGGAAAATTCGTTGAAGACCTAGAAAAAGTTGTAAGTGGCGAAAAACAGTTTTTTACGTTTATGAGACAAGTTTGATTTGGAAGAAAATGCCTACAAGTACGTTTATAGCTAAAGAAGAAAAGTCTGTATCAGGTTACACAACAGCTAGAGACAGAATGACAGTGTTATTAGTCAGCAACGCCTGAAAACCCTAAAGCTCTGAAAAACTATGATAAATAGTCTTCCTATTCACTAAAAATTTAACAAGATGGGTAACTGCAGTTATTTTTCAAGACTGGTTTAAAAGCTGCTTAGTATGTGAGGTTGCTGCGTATTGCTAGAACAATATGTGTTGTAAGATTTTACTACTCACAGACAACAATAGTCACTGCCGGACTTTCTGCCATCAAATATCACCAACTTTAAATTAAATTATATAAAACAACCTTTTATGCATAGACTTTTTGGAAGACTTTCAACATTTTAAGTTGTATTAAAGCATCTCGTACTATGATGCTTAGAAAAATATTAAGCAAAAAACAATACAGAAAGTTTCAAAAAATTATGTTCAAGGATCGTGAATCTATAACCAATAAAACGTCATTCTAGAAATGGGTAAAAGAGCTAGATTTAGAAGTAGGCTAATACTAACTTTAAGGATAATAATCTATCGAAAGGTTATAGCTTGTAAAGAGAAGAAAAGAACTGCAACTCAAAGAGTTCTGGACAGCTATTTCCACTCAAAATCTATATCATTAACTTCCAGGAATCACCTACACTAGGTTCACTTTCCTAGGTTTCACGAGGAGTCACTTTACGCACTGTGCTCTGCTTTTTCGTACTCACTACACCAATTCGAGTGTTTTTTCCACCTAAGTTGACGGTAAAGGTTAGTGTTGTGAGGTAGCTGTTGATCAGTGCGTTGGGATATCGATAAAGGTGGTCTCATGACAATCCGGTTAGTTTCTTCTTTGATGAAATGAACATTTAATACCATATACCTTTGATTAGTTTAAGGATCTGGATGTACACAATCAATTTATTTTGAATGGACATCTACAAGTGTCGTCCCATACAGTTATCATACTCCGAAACCGAGTTCTTTGGGTGTCTTCTTCATGTCTTCCTTCTATTTGAGCCTTGCGTCTAAAGTTATGCCTAGGTATTTTGCGGTATTAGAATATAGCACTACATTACCTTACCATTTATGTGCACTAGAAGCGTTTTGTCCATTTTACAATACGTGAAATGTACAAAGGACGACTTCAGCTTATTGAGTTTGATTTTTTATTTTTGTGTCCACTATTAGATTAAGTCACTAAAAGGTTTTTTTTAATGTTATGGCTGAGTGAGCAATAAAGTTGCTCTGGACCATAAGCTTTTTTCTCCCTGTGTTGACGCCACGACTATAACTTGAATGTCGGCTCTTTGTATCGACAACTATTGATTGTGCGCAATGTTTTCATGGATTACTTCCGCGCTTCCTCATTTCGTATCGTTTTCTGGAGTATCAGTTTTTACGTTCGCAAACGAATACTAATGGTGTCCAAATGGCAATTCTAAGATAGTTTCTCCCTATTAGTTTTCCTCACTTTTTTTGCAGAAAATGTTTTAGATGATTTGTTTGCTTGATTTTTCACGTTACTTTGCAACTCCTTTCCCATTAGACATCCTGGATACTGCCTGCATGTGGTTTCCCGAAATTAGAACAGCAGGGTTTTTTGCTCATTTCATATACATTTCTGCGTGTCTACAGAAATTTTTACCATATCCATATCTCCGCTACATCTTGTACTACGCTATCTGTCTGCTTTTTCGCAATGCCTCTATTTTCACTTTGAAGTTCTGGATGTAATTGATAAGTTCTGTATTTTCGAAGATCACTGTTTCCCGATTTCGTGCTTTTTTGATTTTATTGATCACCTTGTGTATCTGGATATCTTGTTTTAGAACTCGTTGTTGATATCCTCTGGGCTAGTGCTCGTATAGAGGTTTTTCAGCACTCCCTTAAGGGTTCTTTATCCTAGTATGAGTGCAATACGGATTTTTTATTAATTAGGTTGTTATCCTTTAACACGATTTTAGTTTTCTCTCGTCTTTTACTTTCAGTTTAGTCTTTAATACCAATCTCTGGTGGAGGTATTTTTTGTGTTGCCGTCCATTTTCGCGTCTTGGATTTGAGTAATTTCCAGGTAATATCCTGCGTTTCCAGTTTTTCTTCTTCCTCCTATGCCACTAAAACAAATTCGTTTGAGATTGTAGATTTTCGATTATCTCTTACAAATTTTCTATTTTCATGTTATCAGAAAGAACGTTCATATTTTATTCCGCACCGGTTTAGTTCCTTTTTTTCTGTGTCTACCTAGTATTCGCTTGATGAGGTTACAACGCGTGTTCATTACATGATTTGTTAATAACTTGTTCCGAAAACTCGACAGCATGTAGTGAATATCCAAACCGGACTAAAAGTAGTAGATGTTAACTTTGTTCTAAAAAATAATAAAACTATTTAAAATACGAAAATCTTGTCCTTTAATTTCTATTAAGGTATAACTCTACGAAAATAAAATAAATTTTATAATTACTAAACTTTTTTTAGTACATATAGAGGCAACACAATTTAAAATCGTCATAGTATCACAGAGAGAATCTAAATTTTAAAACAACCATATTTACACAATCATCACTATTTCTGTAATTAAGAAAATATTAATTAATTAATTATGAATTAATTTGTCGTAAGTTGAATTATAAACAGCGTCATTGGCTTCACTGTAGTTATCAAAAGGTATACCTTCATAAACGTGTTCACCATCTTGTAAATGTCGATTGCATTTTAATCTATATCTATATCTAAAAGATGAAAATTAACTCAACAAAGATGTTTATAAATGATAATATATAAATACCTAAATAATACAAAACCAATCAACATAAATAATATGAGAACTGTAAGTGCAATCATAATTGTTTGAACAACATTTGGAGATTCTTTTATTTCCAAAACAGCTGGTAGGGTTCTTTCTGATTTATGGTAAATTTTCGTGTGGCTTATATTTTTATAAACGTTATGAATGACATAAGTGAAACAGTATTCGTTGTCTGGAAGAAGCTTTTTATTTTCAATCTCTCTTTGATAATCGTCTGAAAATTCACTTGATTCATCACCGATTACAAATGACTGGTTTTCATGTGAAAACTAAAACCGAACAAAGTTAAAAGTTAAAAACACTTTTAAAATAAAAGAAGTTATACCTCAACGACTTTCGCAATCCACGTTTCCGCAACATCCTTACACAAACTCCCATTAGCAATATGCCATAATCCATCATCAATATGTTGAAGTACATCATTTTGAACAATTACTACGAGAATAGCTTTTTCTATTCTTAAATCCAAAGGAGGAATTTGAATTGAAATGCTATCTTCTTTAATATTTACCGTACTAGGAATTTGGTCGATATGATCTCCTATATGATCAATTTTTCCTTTTATACTAACATAATCTCCTTTTAGTTTATTATTGATAGCACGCACAGAAATGATGTAAACTGTAGCATACGGTAAATAATTAATAATATGATAATAAGTAGGACTGTATTCCCCAGTTATTGTGTATATTTCATTTAAACCTTTATTTTCATTAACTTCAGTTAATACTATTTCAAAAGCGGTTATGGCTCCTAATTGATTCCAAGGGTGTGTCCAAGAAATATTGAGGTTACAATATTCAAGGATTTCGCTGCAGTTTATAACGTTATACGTTAAATTAGATATTTTACCAGGAACTAAAACAAGAAAAATTTATTTTTTGTTAATACAGTAAAAAATCTCGATATAAGGGATTAATACGGGGAGTGTCAGTTATAGTTAAAAGTCCGTTATACGAATAATTTAGAAAATCAACTTTTATGCTCATCAGACAGCCAAGTTTTTCCATTTTTTTGAGAAGATTCTTTTATTCCCTAAAAATCTAGTGATCACCTTTTTGAAAGCATTCCAAGCTTATCTTTCAACACCTAACATTCTGTACTAAAATTTCTCATCAAATATTAGTTTATGTATGTATTATTTTTTTTAGTTTTGCCTCTGACAAATGTGGAAACTATGTGCAGAGGTATAGAAAGCAGTCACCAGTGTTGGGTAAAGCTTTGACGAATTGTTTCATGAGTCCTAACTTGATGTGAAGAGGTGGAAGATAAATTTTTCTGGGATCGACTAAAGTTTCGTGGAAAACGTTCTTTTCACCTGGCCCTAATGTTTGTTGGATTGGCCATGCTGTTGTAGTCCAGTGTTCATTCCTTGCTCTGCTATCCCATTCACAAATGAAACATGGATACTTAGTGTTTCCTCCCTGCAGATCAAGCATGATGCCCAAAATTTTCAGATCGCCACAAACTATACAGTTATGATCTGTATATTTAATTTTATTTAGCACCTCTTTTAAATTCTCGTAATTTTCTTTGAGGTGTACAGAATGCCCTAGAGGAAGAGAAGCTTATGTGTTACCATTGTGCAGGAGTGTAAGCTTCTTTTTGAAGAAACATTGAAAAGCTTTGCATTCAATTCCAAACTTTTGAACCAAACCAGGAACATCACAACAGTGGACTAACTCACCTTCTTGTTTGAAATAGTCAATAAATTCACGATCTCTAAATCTGTACTGATAAAAAGATGTTCCAGCAGCTAGAAGTGTTTTTTCTTTTAGTCTAGAACCCAAGAGTTCAGCATTCTCCTTGGTAAGTCTCAAGTCTCTTACCAAATCATCAAGCTGAGACTGAGCGAAAAGTTGTGGGGTGACATTATCTGAAGAATCTTGGAAATCACAGTCATCTTCATTTACATCAGATTCAATAGAGCTCATCTCACGTAGCGTTGCTGGCACATCTGGTCCATGAGCTACAGGTCGCATTGCAGAAGGAAGGTTATGGTACACTATATCTCTTTTATTCTTAGAGTTATACCCATTAAAATCTGTGTAGCAAAAATAACAGTAGTCACTGTGATTTTTTGATTCCCTCCCACCATCGGAATGCCAAATTTTAATGATTTTTTTACCTGATGACCACTTTCTGAGATCTTCTACACAAATATAACACACTTTGTGAAGTGCTAAGAAACACTGAAATAGGGCAACTTGGGGAATAACCCGAATTGGATTCTATCTATGAGCGCTAACATTTATATTTAAATATGATGATGTATTAAATAAATAATATTAATAGTATAACTTAAAAATATTTTGTCTGTTATATCCGAAGTCCGGTTTAACGAGATCCGTTATATCGAGGTTTTACTATAATACATAGTAACTAACTTACCATTAGCTTTTAGTAAAACATTTTGTATCTTCTCTTCTTTACCAAATACGTTAATACCTTTATTTTTTATACTTAATTTGAATGTATGAATTTGCCCAGAAATCAATTTTTTTACATTAACACAATACATATCGGGATATTGAGCACATTTTGTAATGTTTTCTATTATTGAATCACACTTATTTCGTAAGAGGCTGGTACAAAAATGAACCATCACCTTTTCTGGTACTCCATTTACTAATTTCGGAAGTTTATAACGAAGAGCTACACTCTTCTCTGTGATTTCATAAGCATCTAAATAGGATACAAAACTGGCGACTGAAATTATTTTAATTAATTTAAGTTAAAACTTTTAATTTTATTTACCATCCGGTTTGGTTGTAAAGTTGTAAAACGTCGATACTTTATTAAAATATTCGTTAAAACTTCTGCTCGTTTTAATTTCAAGTGTATAATTAGTAAAAGAATTTAACGATGTATAATCTTGATTTTCACTGATGCTTAATATCGTTTTATTTCCTATAGAATATTTATATTGCAATCTACCAAAAATATCATGACACGACGCTGGTTTACGTAATATTTTTGCTTTATAAGTGTTTGGTATAATTTTAACATTTGTTGGCAATTCATTTTCAGTAATACTAGCTATAAAAAAATTGTAAGAATTCAATAATACCTAATTTTTAGAATTTACCTAATTCTTTTGTGTTTAATTTATATTCCTTCGTTAAATTTGCATAAATTAAATGAATTATTGAAAAGGAGTAATGAGTGTATGGTATTAATTTGTTTATAGTTATTTCGTTTCCTTCAACTAAAAGTATCCCATTGGATTTTATTCGCTCTATACTAACATTTTTTAAATTGTTGTTTTCTGGGCAAAGATGATGACCCTACAAGATTTAATTAATTATTGCAATTTTAAATTATGTCTTTCTTTGATTTACCTGATACTTTAATATAAATGGTAATTGTTCATCTCCAATTCTTTGTGGTTTCCAATTTAAATTAGAAAGCCTAATTGAAGTGGTATTTTCTGAGAAATTAATCGGTGATGGTAGTTCTAAAAGAATAAATTAAGAGTTAAATAATAGTTAATAAATTAAATCGATTAAACCCACCTACATCTTCTAACTTTAATAAATAAGGTTTTGGTCGCCATTGTTGCTTTGAAAGAGCGTGACACGAAATTTCGTTATCACTCATATTTAAGATACCCTTATTATTTTTAAGTACCTTTAATTTTAATTCTTTCTCAGAACATATCCTAATGTTATCAATCATCCAAAATCCGTTTTTAGGACCGGTTGTTTCAGTAAATAATTGAAGTTGGTCTTTTGTGTAATTTGTTACATATATTTTGAATAATTTCCAATTTTTCTATTGAAAATAATGAAATAAATGAACATAAAAGTAAATTAATTAAAAGCTTACCAAAATAATTTCACTTTTTGGTAATAAATTTATCGTTTTCTCATCTTTGGAATAAAAATTAAGTTTACAATTTTCACACATTGAAACTAACATACAAATAGTTAAATTTTTACTAGTTGTTTTAACTGGAGGTCCGAATGTTGTATTGGTTGTTAGATTTGTGTATAAAAAGTTATCTACAAAATTATAATAAATAAATTAAAATTAAAGTGCCTCACAAATGTTTATATAAACCTCACAAAGATTTTTGTGAGTGCTATGATATTTATGACATTTTAAAATTAATATCTTACTTTGATGAATTTTCCAAAGTGATACATTTTCACTCTCCATAAATAAAAATATAACTTTTAGTGGATTCTTATCTAAAATGTTAATAATCTCCACATCATCATTTAAATCTTTTAAAATTATTCCTCCAGTAGGTAAGAACGATATTTGAAAACTTCTCCATTGATCAAAAGAAAATATGGGCTTTTCATACTAAAATTAATTATTAATAATGACAAAAATAAAATAAAACAAAGATTAGTATTACCGAATAAGATGTAATCGTTTCATTTTTACTATTAACAACAAAAACATCCGATCCGTTTATCATACCGAATATAACTTTGTAACAAGCATATTTGTTGGGTAACCAACCCTCACAAAGTAATATTTTTAATCCATCATTACTACGTATCGAAATTGTTATTGAAACATTTTGATGAATGTCTATTCTTTTATCCGTAAGAGGAGTGGTTTTATCAATTATATAAGTTGGTAAATCTAAAAAAATAATTAACAGAACAGTTTTATCTTGAAGGTCTTCACATTATCGTTGTGGGTTTAATTAAAGATAATAACGTTTTTTGTTATTTAAATTTTTTGATTGTGTAAAGCAAATTACAATAATAATCAGGATGTATTCAACATTAATGGGAATTACTGAAAATCGTTTACTTTTTCACCTTTATTCAACCTCCTTGTTTTTTATTAAGTGACTATAAATGATTAATTATTATTTATACATTACCTTCCCAACGGTAATCAAAGATAGTCCTATATTTCTTATCATTTTCCTCAGAGATTCGCCATATATTAGATTTGTATTTATTTATGCAATGATGACCTTGTTCAAAATCACAATCAATGTCGCTGGTTAAGTTTGGTAAAAAATAATTTTCTAAAATAAATGGCGCATAAACAACAATCTCCCAACAAAAAAAAAACATGAATCAATTATGTTAATTTCAATGCTGTTTACATAAAAAGAAATAGCAAACCTGTTAATGGTTGATCTTCCTGTCTTCCAGTTAAAGGGAAACTCCAATCGGTTGCTGAATAAACATCACTTTCAGACGCAATACAAACCCCTTCCAATCCATTATTTCCATCCCGTATGAAATGTTTTAATTTGGGAACATCACTCGCTTTCACTTTACGAAACCAACCAAACAAACATAAGAAAATAACGAGCGTTAACACTTTGATTTTTCTGCAAGAAAAATAATTGTTATATCAATGAATTTTTAAAAAACAACTTACTTTTCACGAGCCATTTTTTTGAATGATCTCATTTGCATACGCGGTCCATATTATTATTAGAGCGCACAAGACGTAACGTTAACGCACAAAGTTGTTCAGAGATTTATAAATAAATGTTCTCGGACGACCTTGATTTTACAAGCGCGCTCATCACTTTTCTTTCGACTATATTTTTTAGCCAAATATCTTAACCGCAACGTGATTCAAAAAAAATGCTTCACAAAGAATACTACTTTTAAACTTTTGTTGTGGTATTATATCGGAATTTCGCAACCAAACAAAAAAAAGAGTCAGAGTAGGGATGTGGAGTGGGAAGAAAGAATATGTAATCATTAAGTTAAGTGTTATAAACATTTTGCGACTATTTTTTTATTCTAAATTACTTAATGAAAATTTTTCTTCAGCATATTTTTGAACATTCGAAATAAACTCATCATATTGCGAACCTTATTTACATTATGCAATAAATTAAACACATCCAAATCAATTAGTTAATTAATTAAGTTTAGATGATCCACACAAAACAATTAAATCAAAAATTACACTAAATAAAGAGTTGTTAGATGCGGATATTTTACTGACATTGTTTTGATTTTGTATTTGCAATATTGGTGTAAACATTTCTTTCCTGAACGGTGCATCCCCGGATTTGTGTTCAAAGTGCAATAATAACATCGTTAATATTTCTACTTCTCTATCAGTACTTTACCTAATTCAATGAAAATGTTGAAAACACTGCGTTTATACAATTTGCTGTATTTTTCGGCTATTTTTTAGAGATGAGATTGTCCGATATCTTAATGAAATAATAAATATTTTAAAGCAAATTTAATCCAGAGACCACAAATCAAAAATCATTGATTAAATTGTAATAGATTTTAATGTCATGATTTTTAACATTCATCATTGTATAAGTAAGATTGATAATTCTAATGCTTAATTAGTCACACTTAAAAAACTTGTATATTAAGCACAAATTGAGATATAAAAAAACGTAAAACAATTAGATAAACATTACAAGAATTATTCTTCCTTTTGCATGATCGGAATTAAATCGTATAATAAGTTAAAGATTGAATTGCGATGCGTTCAAAAACGAATGCGATAAGTTGGAATATATGGACAATTTAACTAATAATAAGAATACTAAATGAACTTCAGTTACATTTCCTGTTTGTCAAACAAACTTTTATTGTGATTATGAACAAATCTTTTCTCTGACAGTTTTTACATTGTTCTCTCATCACAAGAAGTGCTCTCTTCTGCTATATTAGTGATACAAGTGATATAGAATATCCATATAGAATCTTATCTACATAAAAAACTATTCCAAAAAGAAATGATTGAGAAAAACAAAGAAAACACTATTAAAGTCTTCCAACTATACTGAGTATGACCTATTAAAGGTTATAAACGGCACACAATTTTAATAATAATTGGTTGTGAATGGAATAAAAGATGGGTTGGTGTTTACTAGATTGACTTTAAGTAACTATTGTTCTCCATAGAAAGATTAACTAACCGAACCGAGCTACATAGGTACGTCGCAAATTTAATGCTCGAGTAGGGATTGAAATAACCATAAACATTGGTTTAACTGGGAACAATTTATCAATGATATTAAGACTATGTATTCTTTTTTTCTTTACGCATAAATTTATGGAAAAGATTTCTCGTCAAATAGACTGATGAAACATTAATCAACATACACTAAATATATTATTCTAGGGACTCCAGGAATCTCGTCAAAACATACGTAAAATCCGACCTACACAAGACATCAATAATTGGCAATCGTTGAGAACTCATTTAGCATGAGTTCATCAAGAAAGAAGACAATTCGGACAAAAGTGCACCAAACTGACAAAACCGCTTTGTTCCAAATACAAAAAAATAGGTGTTTTTCGAAACTGTATATGATTAACTCTTTCGTACCAATAGTAAATAGTAACTTACTTGAACCACCACCTAGATCTGGTATACTAATCAATTGAACTCAGGGGTTTAAGATGCACTATAATAATAAATAATTTGCCAAATTTGACTATCGACTTGGTTTTTTGAAACAGACCTCATTCACCGGCATAAACTTATGCAGCACTAAAATACCAATTCAAAAAGATATACTAAAACTAATTTTGGGGAAAAGTTAGCTACCAACGAGAGTAAAATCGTTTCCACTAACTGAAATAAGAGTGGTGACGAAGAAGGTGACGACGCAGACTTGAAGATTTCTGCTGACTGTGATTTTCCGTAGATGTCTAAAGAATGTCAGAATGAAGACAAACTATTTTTACTTTCAACAGTTAATGATTTTACTAACATTAAAGAAGAGTACAAGCTAAAAGCGAAAGTTGATATAATAAAAAACATATACAGGTGTCTCAGCGAGGCTGGTCATTAGACGTTTCTGAGGTTCTGGCTAAAATAAAAATTTGAGAATTCAGATTTAACTATAATCAATTGCGTTCTCTTCGACTAAAATATTTTCAGATTTCTAGCATTTCTGGTTATACCGGAAGTCGCCATCTACTTTATTTTTTTAAGTGGAACACCCTATATATTTTTACATATTTGGATCTGTCTATTTTCAAGATTTATGAATAACTTTACTTTGTATGCATACATACAACTTTACTTTTTGCAATTTGGTTCGGCCGTACTCGAGTTATTCGATATTTTCTAAAAAAATCTGCTGTAGCAGACATTTGTTCAAAAGATCAGAAAACAGTCGATTTTTGAGATATCAATTTAGGATTCAGAACTTGCTTAAGATCTGACCCAACCCAACCCAACCCTGTATAAATTCATAAATACGGAAGAATAGGATTGATATTCCGGGAACATCTACAACTCAAAACTGATATCAGGCTGAAAATCACTCAGAATACCTAATTTATTCAAAAATACAAACGATAATCGAACTTAGTCAGCTAAGAATTCACTGCTAAATTTAGATACTTTTCACAAACGATTCCAAAATTATCGTTGACATGTATGAATAATATCTAATAGCAATTTAAAAGTTACTATTTATATTTTACAAATTTTTTAAAGGTTGTATTGTAATGCTCATACCAACTTCTTTCGCTCGTAAATGATTGTATTTAATATTTCCGTCGCAGCAGGACATTTTTACGTTTTCTTTTTAAAATTTGTAATAAAGCCAGCGTAAATACAAGATCTAACTGAAGACCATTTCAACAGAAGCGAAGTTTTATGAAGAAATAACCACTATTTTTAATAATAACAATTCATTTCTAAATAATATCTGCATAAGTGATGAACGTGTGAACGTCTGAAGACGCACGGCTAAACCCGAAACCTACTAGTTCTAGGTCTAGTGTTAGTTCTACTTTTAGTTCAATAAAAATATACAACAATCTAGCATTGAACAACAAAGTATAGGGGAATACCCCGAGTTTATCTATGTATGAACATGGAATAGAGCAACATGGGCAGTAACTCAAGTTGGACTCTATCTATGAGCGCTAACATTTATATTTAATGTTACTGATGTATTAAATAGATAGGTAATATTAATAGTATGACTTTAAAATATTTTGTCCATTCTAACGAGGTCCGTTATATCAAGGTTTTAATGTACTTACATAACTACACGTCTTGGATTAACAAAAACCTTCATCTGATTGTAGAAAGACAAACCTAGCATCCTAAAAAAATTAATGTTTGGGCAAATATCTTGGGGACCAGAGATTGATCTAATGTTTATCAATAGAAATTTACTAAAATGTTCTCAAAAATCAATTGCATACAGAAGGAAACGTTCTGCTTAATGAGGTGGTATTACCCTTTTGTTTATAGATATGCTGCATTACCACAACTAAATCGCCTCTAAAAACGAAACAATAATTTGCCCGTTAAAGGGTTAAGATTGTTGAAGGAGTGCTTTTTCTGACTGTAATAACAGTTTTTAAAATTCGATTTGATAACAATTGCACAAAGGCTTTGCTAGTTTGGTAATTTTGAGCTATTTTAACTACAGAGCGGTGTTCCTCATTTTTTATTGACCTTAGCATCAACTTATCGGCAGACGAAAAACCGGTTTTAAATAAAAAATGAAGCTTTGAAATGGTGCATTTAGATCTTCGCTACTCTAATAATAAGGAAGATATCAGGTAAGAAAGTAGATAGGAAATTACGGGTACAAGTTTGTTGCCATCGTCGGACAGGTTGTTTTGCATAAAAAATACTGTATAATACTTCTGTTGATACTTCTTACGTGTTTCAGCAATTTCTTTCATAAATTTCCAACTTTGCAGAAATTGAGATAGGAACCTTTCTAATGAACACCTGTAAATTGTTGTATTGTTAACCGACTCATTAGGAAATATGATTAGGATCTTATAATTTTACCATTAAATAAGAAAGAAAATATATTTTATTTTATCAACAGTGTACAAACAGATCTCTTCCTTACAAAATACTTATATTCAACTTAAATCTTATGAAAATAAAAAAAACGAATTAATACTTAGATGTATCGAAATGAAAATAATTGTGATTTAATTTTAATGTTATTGGCTGTTAATGTTAGTATTTTTAACAAATCTACAAAAAATTTGTCAAAATATTATACACCAACACTTTTTAAATCACAATTACTTTAATACCATGATACAAAAAAAAATCTTTGAGATTTCTCTTTAAACAGTCGTTATTTACATAAAAAAGAGATTCTTAATATAGTTAATTAAAGAGTATAAAAACGAGAGAAAAGTATATATTACTTCTTTGTCATCAAATCTAAAAGTTAATTAATTTGTTTTAATTAAATATTATTTTCGATTTATAATCAATAACCTATGCGAAAACCAAAAGGGCCTTCTCTAATTTTTTTTTTTATTAATTTATTTATATTAATTATAAAGAAAAAATGGACGGTTTTTTTGAGACTATCGAGTTACAAACCTCGTTTAATTTCTTTTTATCTAATTAATTATTCAAACCGAATAAGGTTAATGAATTAATTAATTACTTGAATTTTGTATAAACATGGTAACAAAGTTATTTCTTTATCTTTACACAAAACCCAACAATACGTGCTTTTTTTGTTCATTTTTTATTTTAAGTCTATATACAAAAAGTTGTGCTGCCAAAAACTCAGTGCTTTTCAAAAACAAAACAAAAATGTATTTTTTATTGTAAACTATTGTTTTTTAAATACTTTTTAAGTAAGTTTGCCCGTTTTAAACATTTTAAAAAAAAAAAATAAGTTGTCATGCTTGAACACAAAATATTTCTTATTTAATTTTAAATTAATTTTAATCCAAATCTTTTTTTAAAGCAGCACCGTATTTTTATGCAAAATCTTTTCCTCTTCTCTACTACAAAAAAATTTTTTGCAATTTTTTCAACTTAATAACCTAACTATACAGGCACTATTTATACAGGATGATTCATACCACAAGTACCCCAACGATTTTATTCCTAAATGTCTTTGAAAGTTAAAATGATAATTCATCGAATAAAGCTAAAACATATTAAGTGGATTTAGCTGCAATCATCCTTTTTGAATAAAAAGTTTTGATATGGGTGATTTCAATCATCCTGTATATTCAAATATTTATATAAAAAAAAACAAAAATCCATTTAGTATATAAACACATTTGTACTTCAACTACGTTGTCAAGAGTTAATTTATCAACTTTTCTGATGTGTTTTTCTGATATTATCATTACTTTTTACAGTTTTTTATTTTACATCTAAAGGGGGGCTCAAATATAAATGAAAAATAATATCTCTAAGGTCATCGCTTCTATCTTTAAGATCACAAACAGTTCTTTTTTTTTTGTTTTTTAATTCAACATGTTTTTGTGTGTTATTTCAATATCTTTAAATGACTACACCTTCCTCTAATTTAAAATATCGCACAATCAACGTAAAACTGGTTACTAAAATTAACACAAACGGTATTGGCGTTGTAAACGCTACGTTGTAAATGTGGCAATATGGACATTGACTACTTCCACACACCTGGCAAATTGTCAGTTGATATGTTGATGATGCGTCGAAAATTGTTTCATTGAAACGTTCTAGAATTAGATTTTTTTTTGTTAACAAAATGTTAATTTTATGAGTATTAAATCTCTAGTTTAAGGTAGGATATTTTAATAATGAGGTGGAATATTCTTAAAAGGATTTTCGCGTTCTAAAAGATAACGCTTTGAAGTTTAAGGGTTTAAGGTGGTTAAGTTACTAAATAGAAGAATTATTTAAGTGCGCTTAAAATTCGACCAAAATATTTAAAATATTTAAACTTACCTGGTGCATAATAATCATAAACTTTAATTGGAAGGTACTTCGACATATTCGCAACAGGATACCAACGTTCCACTGTTAAATTCACACAAGTTTCTTCATTATCAAGCTAAAAACAATTAAAAAAATTACAAATAAAATTAGTCAAACAACAAAATACTTACATAATCAAAATAAAACAAAACTTTGGTATCTAAAAATTTCGCCCTTTGCAAATTTCTAACCCTCCTCGTTCTAATATAATAATCTAATCTTTGTTGTTGAATAATATACCCAGTTGGAATCGTAATATCCAAAACAGCCATTCCCGACCTTTCCGATTCATTTAAATTCGTCCATCTTTGACAACTAACATAATTAATATGGGAATGATTCCTTCCATAAAAATCGGCCCTCGTGAACAAATCGAAAGCTTTAACAGGCGGTTGAGTTTGAAATCGAGCAACATCAACGTTATATTGGACATGCATTTGTAAAATGGCGTACCCAGTTCCTTTAGCTTGGACTTTAACGGTACCCCAAGCTTCTGGAATATCAACATATTGCAATTTAACCCTGTTTTTATCGTTGACGTTCAAAACTTTTGATTGCCCTGGTAAAGCTGTTGCTTCAACTGTAACTGTTAATCCGGAAACGTCACGAATTCTTTCCGCTGCTGTATATTCAATTAAAGCTTTCATTGCATTTGCTGTGTCGGAAGTTGAAGCCCAACCACCATTTGTTAATCGTTGGGAATTTAACCAATTCACCATTGCATCAACTAAAATTTCGCGACGTTGAACATAAACTAACAGGGCGTAAGATGTTGCTTCGATATTTTCAGAATCATAAGTGTATGGAAGACGAGGTAGAGAAAATGGACGTTGATTCTCAGTTTTTGTTGGGGGATCTGGTAATCGCTCTCTGCCGCAATACGCATAACCATTTCCGTTTACAACACTTTGAACGAGAATACTAAAAGCGTCTTCTGCTTGAGGTTGACGACTTTTCATTAATGCGTAAGCTACGATCGCTCGTTCGAATGGTTTTCCATGTTCGCGAAGGAGTTTCATGTTGCGTTCTAACCACTGGGATGCTGCCGAATGGGCATTTGCCACGTCTTTACTAATATCCGCTAAAAAAAATAAGTAAAAATTAAATTTAACCTATTAATACTAAAATTAAAATAAAAACATACTTGATAAATCTTTAACAGACTCCAACATAATCAAAACATGCGCCGTTAAAGAAATATTTCTATTTCTATAGCGAGTTTCATCGGGATAATTCAACGAATCATTATACTTCCGGTCCGGAGACCAAGTAGTCTCATAAAACGATCCTTCCGGAGTTTGATGTTTTAAAACCCATCGGACACTTTTCTCAATAATTCTTGGGTCGATATAAATAAAATTTTCCCATTCATAAAATGTGGCTTCTTTTAACAATCTAATTACATAAGAAGTTAACCAAACTGATGAAGCAGATTGATTCCAATCACTTCTAAATAAACTAAAACTTCCATCAGGTTGTAAATAGGATAATTGTTTTTGATAAGCGATATTCATTTGATTGAAAGCCTCCCTTTCTAACGTCTTATTTCTTTGAATTGTATAACGCATATAAAGTGTTGTATACATCGTCGCTGCGAATGAAAATATGTTTTGTTCGGCCGATTCTTGTGGTAAACCCAATAAAGACGATGCGTTTATGGGCATTGTTGGAAAAACGGGGCCTACAACGTCCCCAACAATCGATACTTTGGCTTTATTTGAACCAAAAACATAGTAACGATCGTATTCGTAAGGAATTATTGGAATTTCGGTAATGTTTACGTGCATGTATTGGAAAGCATAACCTCGCGTACTTAAATCAAGAAGCATTGATTGATGTCTGTACTGTGGTAAACCATCCGCCTAATAATGATAATATAATAATAATTGATTATGTTTTGGAAGTATAATTTTAGATTTACCTCAACATGTAATGTTCGTGTTATTTGATCTCTGCCTAATAAAGTTGAAGCATAAACAGTTACATCAATATCTCCAAGACGTCTTGGGACAATAGGTAGATAAACGACAGTTGCGTCTTGGGCCTAAAAATCAATAAATAAAATCAATTATTTTATGCTACAATATTTTAAAGTTTTATTTTTTACCAAAATATAAATGAAGAATTGATGTTCTCCATCCGTGGTTCGCGGATTGTAAGAAACAACAACTCCATCTTCTTCAACATGGACAAATTTATAATCGGGTGATCTTACAAGAACAACAGTCGCCTCAATGTTATTTTGCATGTAATTGAAAACTGTAACGCGAATTCCAACTTGTTCACCTTGTTTGCAAGCTTTTGGCATTTCCACATTAATATAGAAAGGTAAATCTCCGACATACTACAAAAGAAATTAAATTATTTTAAATTACATTTAGTATTCAAAACTTTTTAATTACTTCAATAGCATTTCTTAACATTCCATAACCCATAGTAGGACTCATTGAGAATGCAGAGACCATCCAATGAACGGGGACTGGGGGTACATCAATATTAAAAATATATCTCCCATGGGGACCAATATTAACATCCCTCCACAACCAAACGTTATCATATAATCTTTGAACTTTATTAAACCGATGTTGGCGGAAGAGAGTTAAGTCGGTAGCGTTAATTTCCTGACATCCAACTTCATCAGTACCATCTTTACAATCAATATAACCATCGCATTTTTGTTGTATACTATAACATTCACCATCTAGACACTCCAAATAACCATCGTGAGGATTGCACAATGATGGTCGTTTTGTAATTGGAACGTCGCTAAAAACGACCAACCCAATGTATTCGAAAGTACGATTTGCATCTATTCCAAATGTTGATGATGGGAAATTGATGATTTCGTCGGGGTTTCCTTGGTGGGATAACCAGGTGTATTTGTGAGTGCCGTTGGTTTGCTCATCAAATGTAGACATTTTTGAAATCACCTTTGCGTAACTAAGTTCATTTCCTGCTTGCATTGTATAAAACGCGTTATCAATTCCAGATAAACCAACGTAAGCTCCTGGTTCTCCGAAAATTGCGACTTCAACTTTGTGTCCAGTTCGAGCTTTTTTGTTGTTTATAAACACTTGAAACTAGAAGAAAAATCCAAATTAATTAATCTATAGAAGATTAAAAGATTTTTTTGTTTCTTAACAAATACTACTTACTTTATTTCGACTTATTCCATTAACAGGAAACGTTAAACTATCCGCTACAACATCACCATATCTTCCTACATACCAAACAACAACCGTCGCAACCGGAGCCATTTCAGCACTTAACGTAATCGCTATTGTATTCACAAAGTCTTGCATTACTTCATCTCCAGTAATTAATATAGTTCCTTTTGAAATCACCAAATAACTATATTTATCAATGTAAAAATTACTTCGGACGTGAAAAATGATGTATTCACCAACTTTCGGCTCTACAGTACTAGTCATTACTTTTAAATGTTTATTTTGCGGACTGTAATGAGCCAACATTAAAAGATTTTGTTCGATTCGACCACCTTGTATATCTTGAAATACTGCACGAACTCTGATTTTTTCTAAAAAAAAAAGATTATGTTGTGTGAAAATAAATTTATAGGTTACAATACAAAATTTTGAGTTGATCAAAAGAAGGCACGCAAGAGAATTTATCCAATCAACTAAAGAAACATGAAAAAACTGAAAAAATTATGTGTATATTCCCTCAGTAGTTGGATTATCCTCGAAATTTAGTAAGAATGCAGACTGAGTGGCTGGTAAAAGAAAGGACCATACAATGACTGTTGCAGTGAATAAAATCAACAAGCTGATAAAACACGAAACAAACATGAAAGTTGCGAGTAAGAGAGCACAACTCTGGTCCTTATTATTGGAACACGCAAACCTCAAAGAATTGAATATTCCTCTTTGAAACCTTTAATAACGGATTTCTACCAATTTTGGAGATTATGGATTCGATGGGATTAAAAATTGACCAACAAGAAGACATGGAAGCACACTGCCACAATAAGATCCGTATTAACCAAACAGAAAGGCGTTCGTTCGATTTCACAAGATACAACCAGCGCAACGCCGGCACAAAAAGGGTGAGCTAGCAGAATATATACAACCTGGAAGAATGAGACCTTTATGGACGTAGATTAGCAAATGAAACAACATTTTGGTAATTGATATCCACGACTGCTCAAAATCTACCTGCTCAATTGTACTCAAACATTTTAAGAACATGACGTTGAGGTTTAAAAATGTTTCAACTTAAAAGAAACAATTATGGCTTAGCTTATTTATTTATTACGGGACACAAGACAGGACAAACCCAATTCAAGCTGTGACACTAAAAAAATACAATAAGAAAGAAAAAAGGACATAGGTCGTACATACCTAGTACATCATAGGTAGTATGAGATTTAGAGCATAAAAAAACGAAAGAATTTCTTTTAGACACGCTCTGGTCGTTCCACGAATATCTCATATTGTGGATTCCATACAACAGTGCAGTAATTCCAAATGTTAAATAGAGAATCATTAATGAATTAGTGTCTGCAAAATTAGCAGCTGATCTCATGACGAATCCAAGCATACGAAAAGCTGTGCCAACCACCAAATCGACGAGCTCACTGAATAATAGCTTACTATCAAACGTCACGCTCAAATGCCTTATAGAAGTAACCCTGTCCAACAACTTCCCTCCAATGATGTAGTCAAAGCGTATAGGACCAGGCTGTTTGCTCAAAAGTAATTGTAAAGTATTTGCTATAATTTATGGTGATTTAGTTTCTAAAACAATATTGAGCAAGTTCGCATAGATCTCGCTGAAGAGCAGAACAGTCTCTAGGATTAGACACGCGGCAGAAGATCTTTATATCATCTGCATACATTAAACAGTTAACGCGTTTAAAACATTTAAAAGATGTCATTAATATAAATATTGATAAGCAAAGGTCCAAGAATGCTTCCCTGAGGGACGCTGGATGAGACTGACACCGTCTGCGAGGAAGAACCTCTTAACTCTAACAGACTGCGTCCTATCAGCCATATAGGAAGCAAGCCACTGTTGAATGCTGTAAGGTAAGCCAACATGTTCAATATTTGCATGCAAAAAATTCGTGTTGGCGAGGGTCCAAAACTTTTTTACAGTATTAAAAAATAGCCTTGTCAATTAAGCTCTCAAAGCGCTCTCAAGCAGTTATGCTTGAAATAGTGCGAAGTAAAGTAATATTAGAAACAGTGGATAAAATAATGACTTTAGAAGATTCTCAAAATGATTTGAATGATTAAGAGCAGAGATGTTTAGAATAGGCATCATACCGCCAAAAGAAGTTATCAATAAGCAAGAGATGCAGGGAATATACTCGAAAACCATGGGCAAAAACGAGCAAAAACGAATGACTGATTTTTGTCAAGTAAGATTTTGTGATTAAAGCGTGTATTTCATACGTACAACTTCTTATAGCAAAATGAAAACCACCGTGAAAATCAAAACTGTTTTAGTTGGAACATTTAGATACATCTTACCTATCTTGGCATCAACATGGCACCCGAAACGTCAAAAACTTTTTCAAAAGACGCACAGCTTACCCCGAAAGTATCCACGTCTAGTGTTAGTTCTAGTTTTAGTTTAATTAACACCGGCCGTGAAAGCCATCATACTTATATCTCACAGCTACTTCTGACTTTTGTTGTAGCATGGCACCAATTTTCCAATACCCCCGTCATAGAAGGCAGCCGCTGGTACTTTAAGTCAATTCTCAATGCTAGTCTGCAGCTCATTATCTGAGACAAACTTCTGCCCTCCTAGCCAGTAATTCATGAGAGCAAAGATATGAAGAGATGGAAATTGGAGGGAGCCAAGTCTGGGCTGTAGGGTGGATTACAAAATCCATCCCATTGGAAAGACTACAAGAGGTGATTTGTCGTATTGCAGTATGCTGCATTGTCATGGAGCTGGGCAATGCCTGATAACAACATAAATGCTTTTTCGTATACATTACTCATTCTTCAATGAATTTTACCTGCATGAATATTGCACCCCTTAGCATGCAGAAGTCAAATGACAGCACACACTTCACACTTTGCGGGGGACTATTGTTGAAGGGATGTTTGTGTGCTCAAATAGAACATAAATAGAATATGTGGTCAAAAGGCATAAGTAGGAGTTAAACATCTGAAAATCTGAATGAGATAATCTTTATATAGTAAACTGAAGTAAACAAGTTTATAGCGCTTTCATATGGTTCAGAGGTGTGAAGATTTAAGACTTTACAATTCACTTGTTAAGTAGAATAATTTCAAGAATAGTTGAATAGAATATATGTATGTACGATGCAGACACAACACTGATCAACAATAACTGTTGATAGTATAAATCTTTAATAATGATGAAGATTAAAAAGAGTTTATTGACTGGCGAGTAATAGTAGTGGATCATGTAGGCAGAGTTTTTGACGAAACTCAAAGAAGAGTAAAGCCTTCCTTTATACATTCACCAGATTATTTCACAATGGCATCTTTTAATAAATGATGTTTATAAAAAAAATTAAATTTTCTCACCAACACTTGATAAAATAAGTTGAGCATCCGGTCCAGTTACTTGCAATTCTTGTTTTAAATCAATATTATAAACCCAAACGCCGTCATCACTAGACATTAATAACTTTTTAGCAGGTAATTGTTCTGATCCTCCATTTCGAATGTCAATAGAAGTGTAAACTGTCAGCTCAGATAGCCTAAGTCTTTCTTCAGCAATACGAGATCCATCATGAAATGAAGCAACAATCTTAAAAAAATATAGATGTAAATATTTTTAAGAACATTATATTTATCTTTCTTACATAAACCGTTGCTGGCATTCCTGGTTTAAAAACTTGAGGGGATTCTCCCAAAAATGATAATTTTATTGATGATTCAAATATTCTTGCGGTTGAATAACCTTCGATGATTTCGTCTAAGTAACGATCTCCGACTGTAGCGGTGATACGAATTTCCGTGTCATCTAAAGTTGACACGTAACGTAATAAATCTTTCATTGGATATTTGAACTTGTAAACGCCGTAAAACTAAGACAAAAAAATTATATAATTTTATATGCAAATAAAAAAAAAGAAATTTACTTACAAACTTTAAGCTTGGAACTGCATGGTAAAAAGTTTCCGGAATTTGAAACCAAAAAGGATATGATTCATCCTTAAAAACCAATTAAATATCCATATTACTAATATAAATAAATTAAATTATACTTACAAATTCTAAAAACATTTCTTTTTCATTTGGATCTTTTCCTCTTTGTTCTCCCTGAAATCCATTATAATTGAACGGATCAAATTGAGTACTAAAGCTATTTTGATTCTGTTCGCGTTGATCTTCAACTCTCTTCATTGGTCTGATCGGTCGGATTGAAGCTTTTAAAGTTAAGTTACCCCTAACCGGGGCCCCGCTGGTATAATTAGCCATCACTGTTCCATAAATGTATTCATCGGTGCTGAAGAAAAACGCTGGCATTGTTACATTAACCTCAAACCTTGTCTGATAATATTCTTCAACTAAAAATGTCGATTCTTCAACTTGTCCTCGAGCTACCACCCTTATTTTCCATTCACCAAATACTGGTTGATCTGAGAGTTGATAAGATAAACTCACTGTCCCTAAATTAGACTGTCTAGAGAGCCAACGTTTTATAATTAAATCTCTCGGATCTATCATATAAACGTCGATAACATTCGCAAATGGTTTTAATTCGGTGTTTATTGGAATTGCTCGAAATCGAATCGTTTCACTTTGTTTATAAATTGGTTTATCCATTTGAATAAAAATCGTTAACGAACGTTGTGAAAAAACTAAATTTGTTTCATTTACAAAAGCTGTTCCGCCCAAAACGTTATCATATAACCCTTCAACTCTTAATTTATACCTTCCTTGAGCTGAAGTAAAAGGAACTTGCAATAATAGTGTTTCAGGTATTCCAACTTGAGCGTCAACATGATTTGCGTTAACTTCAACTCCATTTCTTTGAATCGAAGCGCGAACCGTAATCGGTTGTTTTTGCTTCAGTAAAACTACCGATACTCGATATAATTGACCTGGACGGACCATTTTTGACGCTACCACGAAGTAAGTTGCTTCGTTGAAAATCGGGTCGTCTATAAATTTTCTATCGTAGTGATAGTCTCGGAAACGAATGTCGCGGTTATCGTCCGCATCATTTCGACTTCCGGGATGGTAATAGTTATCTTCTTGAGGTGGATACGATCGATCCGTCGGATGATCGTTGAAAGGATTTAAAGGTCTCGATGTTGGTTGGAGTTGTGTTGAGGTTAATGTAAATAATGTTAGGAATGGGACTAAAATGAGAGGTTGTAATGGTATTTTCAACATTTTAACTGAAATAAAAACAAAACAAGACATTAATAATTGAAAGTTATAAATTCAGTTATTTTGTATTTGAACGATTCCAGCTACAATAAAGATAACTGATTCTGGACTTACCAAGTTATAAATAATAAAAGTGATCATATTTATGTGTCAATATGGAAATCATGCGTTTGATTGATTTTTACATTTCTTGAGGTTATATTTTTATTGTGAACGTTGATTAACATTATTTGCTTAAGTAAGCAAGATATTCCCTAATAATCGTAACATACACTTTTTAGATGTTTTATATATAAACTGTATACCTTATACATAAATACTAGCTAAAAGTGATCCTAAGGGTGGAAGGGGGAAGTTCAAAGTTTCTCCATTAGATGGTTATAAGTAGTTTACAAAATGTTTATGTTTTCCACAGTGTACAGAAGTTACTCTTAACAATAAATTTGAGTTTGAATAAGTTTAAAAAAGTTTGGCTATATGAATATCTTACTAATAATAAAACTTGTTACAATCAAAGCTTCGTATTTCACAGCAAAGTTATGATTAGCCCCAACAAAAATTAATCTTTGTTTACTTTACATGTTTACAATAAACAATAGATTAGGGACGATTATTGAACTTGAAATGTAAACCTTTTAAACGATTAAATGCTATCAACCATGAAAAAGTTGTATTTTTTTATTGTTGAGAAGGTCAAAGCTAACATACAACTGATCGTTTTATTTCCATTCATGACTTTACAATGGAAGTAATTATTTCAAGCAACGAAAGTGAAGCTAAAAAAAATAGACATCACTAATTTTCTAGTCTATTGGTCATGAAAAAAATATAAGAAAATTTTTTTAGATTTAATTTATTTTTCACAGTTTTAATGTATTTCCCCGTTAAGATACTTGAAAAGCTTTAAAACAATAGTAGGATGTTCAGAAAAGATTCTTTTATGAAACGATGAGAATTTTTTTTCATAAAAGTTGTTGACTCAAACAGGATGTGAAGCCATTACAACAATTTAACAAAAAAAAGTAACTACTTAACAGTAAATTTTACAAAATTATGTCACGGTTATTGAAACATTTATAATGAAACCACAAATTAAACCACCGATTGTTGATTTGGACACTGTTTCTAAAATTACTTAGAAAATTGCTGAGTAATAACAGCGAATTACGGATATTTTCTAGACACTAAACACTCTAAACTCTCTAAACAGTGAGAATTTTAGTACTTAATGATGTTATTAGAACGACCGAGAAGACTTTTTTTCAGTATGGATGTCGAAAGAAGAAACATGTTAATTTACTTTTTTTTTTCTTAGCAGGTATTCAGGTAGGTTGGAAACCAACCTACTTTTTGAATGGATTGAAATGACTTTTAATTTCATTGTGATTCGCAAATTTGAAAGTTCATGCTTCTTTACGTAAGAAAGAAATGTTATAAAAAATAACCTTCTAAAATTATCAAAATTAATCATCTAAATCTTGTATTAAAATATTTAAATTTTTGTACAATTACTTTTTAAATGTTTGTCTATAATTATTCAGGAAGGGCTTCGTTTGAGCCCCCTTATTATAGAAAAATGTTGAGGTATTGATTATACAAAGAAGAAAATGGTTTAAGGTTCAACGACTTTTCCTCTCTATACTCAAACAAACCCAACTAAAAACTTCCTCAAGGTGGTGATAAAAATACCTTTAAAACTAAGCAAATGAATATCGGTATACGAAGGAGAGTGGATTCCCGGCATAGATTAAATTACTAAACCGGCATTAATTAAAGGAAAATACCGGTTTGTGTTTGGGTTCTGTTTCGATACTCTTACACAAATATCTTCCGTATTATTAAAAATTAAGAAAGAAAAAAGAAGACGGAATTTAAATTTAAAATACTTTATAGCCTAAAGCTATTATGAAGAAAATTTTTAATCCTTATCGAGATATTGATCGCTTAAAAAAAGTATAAAAAATTTTTTTAAATTATCACTAAACTTATTTCAGCACAGAAAACGAATCTTATTTTTTCAAACTGTTGACATGAAGAATTCAGAAAAATATTTTACACAATAAAAGTGATTGCAATTTTTCTTAAACACCCACACAACACGTTTTAACTCCATGTTTTATGGCATGATTAATCGTTGATCACAAATCATGTGTAAACAAAGGTTAAAATCAGAAAATGTGTCAATAGAAGGTCGATTAATAAATTAATAAAATAGAAAGTCCAGTTCTATTTCAAATTATAAAAAAACTCGGAGATGACAAAAAAGTAAACGACAAGGCGACAAAGAAATTTGTCATCACAATTAAAATTAAATTAAAGAAATGATTTCATAAGAGAATAATCATTATAGAGTCATTAATCATTTTGTGAGATCGTTAGCTGACAACGTTTATCCCACACACAATGTTCTAGAGCTGTTATGTAATTATTATGATTTCGAGAGGTTTAAACATCAAATTAGAAATAAATTTTAATTATTAAACCAAATAAAAGTGAAATAATTGAATATGAATTCAATTGACCCAATTTCCCATTATCACTTATCACCACATTTATGAAGAGATTTTTAATTAGCTTATAAACCTTTGACTCTTCGGAACGATTAAAATTGATTGAAAACCGATTAATTAAAAAAGTCCTTTCAGTAAGTTCATCTACGGGTGAATGAAAAGTTATCTAACTAGAATTTTGGACCAATTCTTTTATTCAAACACAAACAAAAACACATCCACCAATTTTTAAAAGAAATATTATTGGTATTCAATAATTTGTCGGGATTCTGATAAAAATTATGGCACGTGGCAATTCAGTTCAATCCTTTTTGGGTTATTGACTTTAGGTTGCAAAAAAAAATATAGATAAAACCAGCCCTGGTTTAAATTTCGAGAGGGTTTCCGACCCTCCTACGTCCTAATTCATGAGATTAGGGGAACGTTGCATGGATTTTGAGAGGGGTGGTTTTAATCTCTGTTCATTTCACCCTAGAGAAGACGAGTGGAGGCAGAAAAAGCACGTGTCGCTTTTTCCTGGACTACTACTAAACATTTCGTTTAATATAAATCATTTTAACGGAAACCGACAGGAAGTTAATGTTAACAGAAGGTAAAAGAGAGGTTGGGTTTATATTTCTTTTAAGGTTTTTTCAGGAAACACGTTTGTTTTGACATGAAGCGTATGTTAAAGAAGAAAATAAATGTTTGAATGAAAAGTTCTTGTCTTTGTTAAATAGATTTCAACATATGTGAAGTATTTGACATGTGCGAATAGAATTTCGAGTTTGAAACCAGTTGGGAACGATTTGACAAAGTTATTTAACAATTTAAATATACAATTTTTTCGTTTCAATTTCTAAAGCATTAAAACTTCATTTTCCATGCGAGCTCAAAATTAACGACCAATTAAGGTATTTTTATGGCATCGTGGTATTAAAGTAAATTGATGATGATAATTCCAGTAAAATTTAAAAAAATCAAGAATTTTTAAAACAAAGATATTTTTAATTATTCCATTTGCAATAAAAGCTTATTTTCGGAACTACAATCTTAAATTAAAAAGAAACTTCTTAATGTTAACGTACTACATTTGGCGAATTTGGTTTTGTTTTGATTTATAAAATTTTATTTACTTAACTATTTTTAATTTTTGAAGTTATGTTATTCTTGTATTCGTTTGAAGCTCAGCGAGTAAATAGAAAGTGTGTAATGCAGAATAGTTGTCTAGAGACGCGATGATTTGGTTGCGAGGGGTTCTGAAGGAAATGGCGAAACGAGAGTGTTGAGTGTAAATGCCAATACATTCTAATGCATTAAAAATTATCAGTTTTAGAAATGTTGAAGAATAATAAAAGTAATTTTCTTTTGAATTCGAGCTAGTTAAATGTTTCGTACTTATTTAAACTATTTATTTTCTTGTGTATAATCTTATATTAGTGTCTAGCTATAAAAAAACAGGAACTAAAGTGACTCTTTTCTAATTAAAGTAAAACTCAACTCTGGCGACTGATTTTTGAATAAGAATCTAAGAAGATTTTAGAATATCTTTTTAAACAAGTCAGTCCTTGCTTATTGTTTGGTATTCTCAGTTAGGTAACAAGTTATTGATGAGAGATTATCTACAATAACTTATTTGAATCATAAGTTAAGATATGTGTGGATTTATTATCACTGAGAATATTGATGAAAAAAGTTTGATGATATGAGCCACACTTTTAATGTCCCACTTGGTTAACAGAGACAAAACTCTATTAATTTTAGATCAGATATTGATTATTCAAGATTAATTTATAAATACCGTTTAGCCAACGACTGTCGTCCACATACTTCTGCTCCTAATAATGAAATCACTTCTTTTCTAAATAGATTAACCAAATTTAAGAGTAACAAAAGGAATATTTTTAAATATATAGTTTCCAACACGTTTACAACATCGCTGACTATTTATTATTATAAAAGATATAAAAACAGTTTTTAGTTACGGTAAACTCAAACGCATTTTATAGTTTAGAAGTTGGAAGACACCGTTTGATTAAAATTCTGCTCATTCTCTAAATTCTAAAAATTTTCTTTTTACAATTTCATAACATGTCAATAAAGCGAAGCAACGGCTATGGTGCAGCCTGTGCCAATAATCTGGCGCTAATGTCACCACTTGTACTCAGTTTAAAGTTGAAAAGCTGAGTGACAACTCTAACAGGTCGGAGATTCTACCAGTAGTAAAAAACCAAAACTCTATCACTTCCATTTGGAATGGGAAAACAAAGACTTCTTTACAGAAGTTAAAAGAACGTGTTTGTTTATTAAGAAATGCGCTAAATTACTCTAGATAAACTTAGATGAGTCGGTAAAAAGGAAAATAAAAGCTGATATAATCCAAAAAATCAGTTAATTGAACAACATTCATTTTTTTATAAAACTGCAATGATTGCACAGAAGAGAAACCTTATGAAAGAGACGTTTCCAAAATATGCTGATTCATAAAATCAGTACAACTTTCTACTATTTCTGAAACC